GTATTCTGAGAAGGTCAAAGGACTGCGACGTATGCTCCGGACGTCTGAGTGTATTAGGCAATGTCACATCACGTCGAATACGGTGTGGAACGTACGAAACTCTGCTACGCTTCATGGCCCGGGTAGGACAGTGTTATCTACCCGCATGTAATATATATATATATATATAATATATATATATATATATATATATATATATATATATATATATATATATATATATATATATATATATATATATATATATATATATATATACCTGCTCACGGCTGGTAATTTTTTCATCCACTTTTCTTTCTTCTTTCTTCTTATTTACATTCCATTGGGTCTAATAACTTCCCCTGTACATACATTCCTTGGCATTACTGTCTGTTAGATCTCATTATATACATATATATTGCTTTCGACACTAACTAAGCATCTATTCTCTAACCTATAAAAATCCCAATAGCCCCCATTGTTCAACTTAGAATAATTCCAAGAGTCCCTGAGCTTTAAATAGAGCTTTATATGTAGCAATTCAACAAGTTTCTCAGTCTGCGTGAACTTGAGTTAAACTCATTCGCAAAAGCTGGCTTTGCCACAATAAGAACCTATGTGGGAAGAAACCCGCTTTCAGCAATACCCTTTTATTCGTGTTTGGCTTTTTTAAGTTATCTTGCTTGTTAGCAGCATTTACTGTTAGGATTCTGTTTATCTGTACGCAAAAAGCTAGTTACCAATCACAAATAATTGTATTAAAGGTATTAAAGTTTCTAGGATATTTGACACAGCATGGCATCCTTCGATTATGCTCCACACATATGATTTAGATTAGAAGGAATTATAAGTATCGTTAAATTACTAATACGACAAGGTAGATATTTTTTCACTAACTGTTTTTCTATTCAAGGCAGTCTCATATTAAGAATATTTAAAACACGCAATAGTAATTTTAGCTTTTCGTTTTAATAATTAATTCTTTAGCATGCTCAGAAACTGAAAAAAGACTTACCAGTGACCTTGTACTGCCAGCATCTCTTAAAAATATTTGCCCTGCGTTTATACCAGTTTACTTAGCTCATTTCTGCTTTTACTTACACTTTAGCTCATAAAACTTCTTTACCAACGTTAGATACGGTACAACAATGTTTTCAGCACATTCGATTGCGCTTTCACTACTTACAAACACAATACCTTGATGACATCCGGTTTCGTCCACCAATGTGCCTTAATAGCATCGGTGGGCAAAAAGGGCTTTAGAAAATAGCCTGCTGATTTTGTACACTTTCTTTTTTTTATGTGACAGAATATATTGAAGTAAATGTTCTTTTGAGCTACTTAAAAATTTTAAGAGATTCCCGCATACGTTACGCACGTTCCTTTTATCTGAAAAACTAAAGATAGACTTTCCTTATCCTTGAAGGAAACTTGGAAACGTGCTTTTAGTTCGACGTTAGGAGCTGGTAAATGAGATTACCGGAAGTTTTGGGGGGTGCAACGCTTGCAGTCTTGAAACTGTCTATATTTTACTTCCTTAAACGTTGAATTATGTTTCTATAGAATTATGTATAGCTGTCAGTTCATCGCGCTACTCTATATTGTATTTTCCAGACTGTTAAAACTTTTTATTAAGATTGCAGCTTCCATGAATGAATAGAAGAGGAGAAGGAAGGAAGGAGCAGAAGGGAAAGGAAAAGCAGGGATGCTAACCAGTCTAAGAGGACCGGTATGCTACCCTATGCTGGGAAAATGGACGGGTCAGTTTTAAAGACGGACAAAAAAAGGGAGGCGAGAGAGAATGCACACACAGTCAGTCACACACCTCCCAGTCGTTATCCCCCCATATCAATCTATAATCGCTGGTGCAGGTCTTTTGTCTTCTGGAAGTTGAGCGCCATCTTCGTCACCTTCGCACGCAATGACCTCTCAGGTCAACCTTCCAGAATGTTTTCTGCCGTCATGACCCATATGCAAAATATTTATTGACCTTGCGGCTTCTACATGTGAGTCTTGTTCATGGTGGACCAGGTTCCCGCGATGGAGCCCAAACGTCTAAGCAAATATATATCTTCACTTGGTCGGCGTTCACGAACGTTTTCACCAGTGTTTCATTCCGGCAGGACGAGATTTGGTCAAAATAAAAAAGTCATTGTGTTGTTGTTGCTGCTTCTGTGGCTGTTCTTTTTTGCTCTGTGTAATACCCCTTCCGGGCGTCACTTGTGCTTCCGGAGAGCATTTAATCTTAGGTTACACCTAATTTTCGTGTGCGACTCACAACTCACCGGCCCGTTGCAGCCATAATGTAAAACAAGAAAGGCAGCGCGATTTTCGCCCGTTCTTCCGTCCCCGACGTCTTATCGAACAGTTACGGGCTTTCCAGGGAAAGTAGAGTCAAGAAAGAAACGTAAAATTAGCACACGGCGACTCCCGTCGTCGTCCAGCTCTGAGGACGCACAGGTGTAAGATCGAAGGCCTTGCGTATATGCAAATTAAATGGGCATCTGCTTACGCACACGGGACGTCCCGGAGAACCGAGTGCGTACAAACCTGGAAAGGTCAGTGCTCACAACCAGAGCGGCACAGCGCGCGCGCGAACGTGGATCTCTTCGTTCGCTTCGTGACTGCAATGTGTATCGAGGCCTCGCATCGATAGACAAAAAGCGTAGCAAGTGGCCTCGAAATGATTCTGTGAAACTCCGGCAGCAGGCGATTCGTTTACGTACTACCAGTAGCAAGAGTTTTGCGGCACGTTGAATCCAGAACAAATGCGAATTTATGCTATATCAGAGCTTAATGCTTGTAATCAAGCTGACGAGTGTATAGATCGGAATGCCAAGTGCAGCATGGAACATTCATTTCGAAATTGCATTCCCAGGCAAAGCGGGAATTGAGTTTTGTCGAACATTTCACATCTTGAAAACATTTGCTGTTAATAGTACGTATAGGATTTCCCGAACCTTGACGACTCTGACGCTGTGCAGTTATTGTGTGCTTCGTAATCTTGATTGTCAAAGGAAGATCGATCTGTATACGCTCGACAATGTGTTGCAAAATTGGGCAGAATTGCGCAACTTTCTGGCTACAAATCACTGTGAACAGCGGTAAGTGCAAATTGAACCTTGACAAGATCGCGTAGTATAGCTGCATGATCCCATGGTGGCTATTTTTTTTTACTCCGTCTGTTATACGTTTTAAGCAACCCTCGTGTGCCCATACTTTCACCACGGCCCCCTTCCGCATTTGATACCTCCTTTTACTCCCCCCCCCCCTTTTTTTTTGTTTGGAAAGTCACTTCATATTCCTTCGTAGAATAAAATTCATCGTGGAGCGACTATCCCAGTCTCGATGTTTTTCTTTGATGGTCGCTTCTTTTCACATCTGCCAAACTTTCGCGCTCAACCTTCTCACATGCTGTTCTAAAATAAATTTTGCTAATGATTTTAGTGCACTCTTCACCCTCCTGCAGTATTTTCAACAGAATATCTTTTTCGGCCTTTCGCGGTATTTGAATTTTGTGGTGGGTGAAACATTAGTCATTATGAAACATCCCCAGAAGTACAATACTACACGGAACACCTCGAATCATAGCTTTTTTCTGGAAAAATATAGTGGTGCCTTCTTATCCTCTTTCGCGATATGCTTTATGGTGAATCCATTTGTTGATTACGGGCCTATTCGGATGATGTTTGATTTAGAAATTGACAATTACACAAACACAATACAACTATGTTACACATGGCTAAGTAGAGGGCGACAAAATGTATTGAGCTCGACGAACGAACAATATCAAACAGGTATGGGTGCAAACATTGAACAATGTTTGAAATGACTCATGTTATCAAGACAGCACAGTAATGCGATCCAAGAAAAAAGTGATACGCAGGGAATTAATTGCGTAATTTATTTGAAACTAAGCTTTAAGAAAATGAAAGCAGCCTTGCACTTATGGTGCCAAGCCTGATGGAAGTTTGGACCTGGGCAGCCTTCCTTGTTTCTGTTCAGTTTTCTTTTTCTTTCCTGTTTTCTTGTTTCTTTTTTCTGTGTTTCTCTCTCTTTAGTTCTATTAATAATATTTTCTTCCTTCGTTTGTTTTTTTTCTCTGTATTTTATTTCTCGCTTTCTTCCTCTTCCAATTTTTACACGCGTGGTTTGTGTTGTCGTGTTTCCCTAGCCATAGTAATAATTACAGTAATTTATATAATCATTAAGGCGCTCGATGAACAAAAGGAAGAGGAATTCTCTTTGGCGCGAGCGTGTGATATATATATATATATATATATATATATATATATATATATATATATATATATATATATATATATATATATATATATATATATATATATATATATATATATATATATATATATATATATTGTCCGCGTCTCCGGGGTCCAGCCCATAGGTCCCCACCGGGTACTTCGTTGGACAACGGAAAGATTCGGCGCCCACGCGGGTGTTAAAAGATCGTAAACTGCTTTGCGTTTTTTTTTCTCACTTTTTGACACGCATTCGTCCGCTTTTCGCTGAGGCAACGGTGACGAAGACCACGGAGACAACGGTAACGATGTGTCAACTAGAAGTTCACATTTCCCGCTACAAAAGTTAAAACAAGTGACGTCACACTGACGCAGGCATTTTTGCACAGAGTTCAAGAAGACAAAATTCTGTACTTGGCTTTTTTTATAGATAAGAGCCTTGTTTTGAAATCTCTGTAGTGCTCCTTTGTCAAACTGAACCGACCTTTTTCGTTCCTTTGAGGCTAGTGCAGGAATTCAGGTGACCTCATAATACACGTGCCGGACATTTAGGACTGATAGCGTAACCTTTTCTACTATTTTTATTACTTAAAGCTATTAAAAAAAGCTGCGCAGTGAGGCGTGAGCATCAGAGTACAAAGCTTGACTAACACATATACAGTGACGGCCAAGCTTAGACTACTTCGGTTTACAGCTGGCAACCAAAATTAAAAAAAAACATGTGGATTTTAATGGATTTTGTTACGGCTCCACCCAGCAGGCTATGGATGCGTCTTGCCCTGTCTGCTGCATGTCGCTCCTTCCTGCAGCTTGTGTCGTGCCCCGCAAAAGACCTTTACTTCATTAACAATGCAAAGTTAGGTCGTGCTGAACGACAATGATAAAAGCCATCTTAGTCTTCAATAACCATGGAAAGCCGAGGCTTTCGAAGTTTTACCAGTATTACGTGAGTACGCGTTTTCTACAAGCTCGCGGTACTCCGTTGTAGAAGTACTCGTAAAAGTTAGTTAATACTGTTATCGACCGTTCCGTAGCTTGGTGGATTGGGGCGAAACGTCTTACGCGTCTCAGCAACTTCGGTGAACGTAATACTTTGTCCCTCGGATGCGCGTTATTCCTAGGCGCATTTGGCCTGTCATTCAGTTTAGATAGTGTTACGCTATGAAGTCTGCGTAGTTGCTACTGTATGTTGTGCTTTGTTGTTTCGTTCGCTTGTAATGACGATTACTTCATGACTTCCAGCCTGAAGAATCGCAGCAGCAGATCATTCGAGAAACATTCCAGTTAGTCTCTAAAAGAGACGACAATGTGTGCAACTTCTTGGAGGGTGGAACGTAAGTTCACTGTTGCGACAGCTTTTTTTTTTTTTTTAGTACTGGTGGTTGTTAGTACTGGCTCATATGAGTAGCGCGCATACGTATTTAGACAATAAGTAAGCCAGCCCTCGGTGTAAGTGACCCGTAGGCTTGTCACGTGTTTTTGTTTGTGCATTATATGGCGGGTTACCGTAGCGGTTGCGTCGGTAACCGTCACAGACTAACGCTCGAATGTTTCGGTTTTATTATGCGTTTCAAACGAGTAACCTACTCCATTAATTGTGTTGTAACTAATCAACGTTGACGTTTTTTTTTTTTTTTTGTTGCAGGCTCATAGGAGGGTCTGATTACAAGATCATTTACAGACATTATGCAACCCTGTATTTTGTGTTCTGTGTGGACTCGTCAGAAAGCGAGCTTGGTATCTTGGATCTGATTCAGGTAAAGCAGTCGATTTCTCTGTGAGAGGAATTTGTTTTAGAGTTGTGGAGAAACTGTTGCTCAATTAAGTGTTCAGTGTACGGTCTTGTTGTACTTACAATAAAAAGGAGTTATGCTGTACACAATTCGAAAAAGAAACTTAAGATAACTATGAGGATTATTGCAAACCATTTTTCATTATTCTTGCCTAAATAACTTTTTTTTTTAATTTGCGGTCTGTTTCTAATAATGCAAGTAAGTGTGTAAGTCAAACTTGAGGCATTGCCGATTATAGCGTGCTTTGAGTGAAATTAGTTTGATAATATATCTAAATAGTTGCTCCTGCCAAGTAAAATGGGTTAAAAGAAGAATTGAAACACATCACTGAAGTGCTGTGTTTTATTTCTGGAGCAGTTGCGTGCTCAAAACAAAACCTGATCTTTTTTTTTTCCAACTCGTCATCTCACTACAGTTTGGTTCGCTGAGCACAGCGTAGTGCGTTTTATCCTGGGCGTTGCGTCTATATTTCAACAGAGGCAAAGCAAATGCTTTGTGTTGTATTTTGATTGGGGGGTCTTGCTAAAGAGCTGCTGGTGGTCAAAATTAATCCGCAGTCCCCCACCAGGGTGTGCTTCATAATGACGTTCATACCCCACATTCAATGACATGAGGAAAATGAAGCAGCTCGGGCAACGGTCGTGTCAACCAGACCTCCCGCGCATCTTTGCTCAACCCGTGGTGAGCCAACGCCGAAACAGAAGTGGAGACCTTGCCACCGACCAAAGGCCACAGTGCAATACCATCACCAAGCTCGTAGGGTGTACCCGCCACCTTTAAAAAAGAAACCACAACGTTCCGAGGACCTGCAAATTAACACGTACGCGCACAGTATCCACATATGTCAAATCTACCCAATGCTTTATGTTATTACGTAATATGCCACCTACCATACAAACTGGCACGCACACCTGATACTTTAGTGCCTATGGTGCCTTGAAGATCGCAATAGCAAGCCTGCAATGACCCCACACTTCAACCCCCTGGCCGAGACATCGGAGGTCAAGATCTTCACATGGGATCTACACGACCAACGAAGACTCGTCGACAGGGTTCGGGAACCCAGAGGATTCCTGAAATTAGGGGCCTTGACTGATTGATATGTGGGGTTTAATGTCCCAAAACCAGGATATGATTATGAGAGACGCCGTAGGGGAGGGCTCCGGAAATTTCGACCACCTGGGGTTCTTTAAAGTGCACCCAAATCTGAGCCCACGGGCCTACAACACGTCCGCCTCCATCGGAAATGCAGCTACCGCAGCCGGGATTCGAACCCGCGACCTGCGGGTCAGCAGCCGAGTACCTTAGCCACTAGACCACCGCGGCGGGCAATTAGGGGCCCTCCCGCCTAGGGGGACCCCAAGCTTACGTGCTCAGGAACACTGTTATCGAAAATTCAAAGATTATTTTATCATCATAATTTTGATGCTGTGTTATGCAGTAGGAAGCTTTGCCAATTCAATATTCTCAGGATCTACAATATGTAACATTCAGTTTATTGTAACAGTTATAATCTGAAATATCACATTGTCTGCTTGCATCATTGAGTGTGGTGTTATGCTGCTGTCATCATTGTGATCATCATAGTCATCATTTTGTTGTCATTTCGCATAGTTTGGACATTCTGGACAGAACTGCTGCTTTTCTCCACTTGATGTTTGTATCAACTGAGCCCAAGCCAATCCTTGCTCCTCATTAGCAGCATTATTCAAAGGAGACTCATTGAATTTTATAATACTGTAATAAAATCAATGGTGCATGAAATTTCGGACATAGTTCAGAGCAGCTAAATAATAACTCACAAATTATGGGGTCCTTATTTTAATAAACCTTTAAAGCGAACTAAAAAAACTGCATGTAACCATGTTATGATTGTGGTGAAGGTTAAACTGTGTCCTGCATTTCTTTTCTGAAGGAATCGCTTGACGTTGTGTTATGTTGCTCTATTCCACAGGTGTTCGTAGAAACACTGGACAAGTGCTTTGAGAATGTGTGTGAATTGGACCTGATCTTTCATGTGGACAAGGTATGCATCCGTGTGCCACTTAGCAAAAAATTTTAATTGTGCAGGCACTGGGCTACATGAGGCCTACAGGCTATTTTCTAGTAGCCTTGCAGTCCCGTAGTGCCTGAAAAGAGTGATGGATGTTTTATTGGAACAGTACTTGTCAATGATTACCTAAACAAACAAGAGTGTAGCCCGTTGCTGGTGTCTGGCCAGCAGGAACACTATTGAATGGAACTCCACCAAGCAACTTCCACTAGCTGCCTTGTGATTGCAGAACTGTGTGGCAGCAGTTGTGCTGCCCACATGGATGCTGGTTCACTCTAGCTACTTGTTATTCACAGTGATAGTTAGAAGTAAGTTGCAAAGCCTTCACTTCTTTTCATCTTGTGATGAGGACGTTGTGCCAGTGATGTTTTGCTGTTAATTATTCGATCATTTGTTCTTTATGACACTGTTATTCACGAAAGGTTCTCTCAGCCGTGAAAACGTTTCGATTTCTACTTACCATGCAGCTCATTATTTCACAGTGGCCACACGTGAAATCTTTACCAGTACTATATGTGAGCATGAAATCCCGTTCTAGTGCACTCGTGAAAAAATATGACTTTCTCACATGCTTTGATGTTTTTTGATAGATTAGGAGCATACTTAAATCTAAAAAATACAGCAGAATCGGTGCTGCTTTTATTTCATGATAGTATATAAACAAGGGAATGCTCTGAGAGGCTCGTTTCTCTATATCATGCACAGTTAATGAAACCAACAAACAGACAAAACATTAAGGTGGATGAAAAACCAACCTTCTCATTGGTCCGATCCGAATCTACAACCTTCAAATTACTTTGCTAACACTCCCAGGTAGTGAGCATACATAAATACCTTTCAAGAAAGTGGACAGGGGAGCACACTCTGTTCTAGCTCAAATGGTAGAGTATCTGACGCAGAGCTCGAAGGTTGTGAGATCGTATACCATCGAATGAAAGGGTGATTTTTCGTCTACTTCAATTTCTGTCAATTTAAAGGGCCCATGATGTGGTCACCCACCAAATGGTAGTTTTTTTTTTTTTTTTTTTTGCAAAAAAAAAAAGTAGCAGTAGGCGGTCCTGTCCATATATGAAAGACGGACTACAAAAAAATATTTCATGGCAAAATAAGCCCTAGAAGCCGCTTGATTTCAGACTTTTTAATCTTATCGGCCAACCTAACTTTCTGTCTTCATTTCGTGCGTTTGCTTTCTCTGGGCTTATGTGTAAGCCGAGACCTTAAAGCATGCACCTTGTGCATTCGTCTAAGACAACTGGAAGGCAAAAGCCACCAATGCAGCTGTCAAGATCTATGCCCTACCCTCCTCCCGAAAACTTTTTGCACTCATTTTGCACTGCCTCTTTTCTCAATAATTTTTTTCATCCATTTGTCACTTTCTTTATTTCCTTCCTTTCTTTTCTATTCCCCAGTGCAGCGTAGCGAACTGAAAATATTCAGGTTAACCACCCTGCTGTTCACTTAACATTTCTCTTTCTCTCTTTCAAGGTTCCACCCACTTTTGGCAAAATGACTATGGCATGTGGTGTTGTTATGTAAAATGACATTTGTGATGTTATAGTGGTGTCATGATGATGTCATATTGTGACGTCATCATGGGGTGATGATTATGATGACTTTTTTCATCGTTCATGTTGATGCTGACGGTCAATTTTCACATTTGACGAGGTATCTGTCTTTTGTCTTAAATAACCAATGAAGAGGCTCTGTCTTTTTTTTTTTATCTCCTTAGCAAGCTCGCCAATTCATCTAGACAGCCATAATGGCCATATTTTGCGAATAGCACAGCACTGCACATTGCGCAAATGGTCCGTTTTGAAAACAATTCTCATGTTCTTGTCCAGCGCTTGTCCAATCTGCTTCACACGTAAAATGAAGTAATCACATGACGTTGCCCCGACTTCATTGATTGGTCCTCCTTACTATGAAATGGCACCTTGGCTAAGGGGTTATGTGGTTCTTGCCATGCATTTACCGTGTTTCTTCACTGCACTGCCCCTCTGACAAGGGCGACGCGTGAAAGAAGCCTTGCTCGGTCGTTGTTTATGTGCTATTGACATAATTGCTGACATCGCTTTACGTTGCCAAAGCCGTTGTAATCACAGCAGCGGGCTATGCCTACCCACTTGGCTGATGAGAGGAATAGGAAGGCCAAGGCTACCAAAGCCTATTCTGGTTGTTCTATACCCTGTAACTCTGTTACACAGTAACTCTATACCCTGTAACTCTGTTATTACAGTTCTTATTCGCAAAAATCTTGCGGCAGCATGTTCAGATTGTACAAGTGCACAGTCACGCTTCACCAAACATTTTGGACGTGAGGTCATTTACCGACCCATTAAAATATTGATGGCTCTCTGCTAACCTGCTGCCGCAGTGTTACTGCTTTTACGGTGTTTGACTGCTTATCGGAGATACGCTGGTTTGATTTTGGCCTCGGCGGTGTCATTTTGACAGAGGCAGAATGCTTGAGGCTTAGATTTAGAACACCACGTTAAAGGACAACCAGAGAGTCAAAATTAGCGGAACCCTCCGCTACAACGTACTCATAATCGTACTGTGTTTTTGGCGAGTAAAATCTGAGCAGTCATTGTTAATCTCTGCTTACCAGCACTAAGAGTGTGCTAATTCTTTGGATCACTCAAGTAGTCGACTTTCAGTACTATTGTCTTTTGCTCTCCACTGGATTGCTATGTGGCATGCATGGGATTTAACACTTGCCCTCTTTCTTGTGCAGGTTCACTACATTCTCAACGAGCTTGTCATGGGGGGCATGGTTCTGGAAACGAGCATGACTGAGATCATCACACGGATTGAAGATCAGAATAAGATTGAGAAACAGGAGGTAATCTACACAGGAACTTGCACATGCACACGTACAAGGAAAAGCCTCCAGCTCGCTAATGAAAGCGAGAGCTCGCATTTAAACTGTAGCTTTTGTGGGAGTTCTAATAAATTAAACTGGCTCGTTGAAGTGGCAAGAGCATTAGTATAGTTCTTTGTATTTGAAGCCTAGGTATTCTTGCCGTTTAAGTTTAGTGATGGAGCTTTGCAATATTCTGCACATGTGTGATGCTAGTCATTGACACTGTTTGCAAACGGTTGAAAGTGTAAATTATGCACTCCTTTATAATCTGTGCAAAAGTATTGCTGCTTTACATGAGCCAAGGTAATGAATTTTTCAGCAGTCATTCAAAGCCTTGGCCATTGCAGAGCCTTAGTGACTCAGCATCAAATTCGTACATTCAAGGGCATAGGTGTATCATTTGAGGCTGCAAATCATCGTTTCATATTTGGAACCACTGGGCTAAAAGCAAAGCTCGTGAGTCCAAGTGTGCATGCCATGCGATACCTAACAAAGTTACGTTTGCCCTCCCTGCTGATTTGAGATGCAATGAATCTACGAAATTGATTCAATGAGCTAGCCAAATGATTTCTAAAATTATCCCTTCTTTACTTTATTACATTTTAAAACTAAGATCTATTTATGCAGCACACTATACAGTCAACTGCCGATTTTTCGTGTTTCGATTTTTCGGACATCACTTTTGCGGCACCGTCACAAGCCCCATAGACATCAATGTATGCTCATGACGATATGCTTACAAAGGAAAGAGCATGTTTTTAAAACAGGCTTTGCGTACTGCGGTGCTATGATGTGATAATGCTAAGAAAATTTATTCGACGGCCCACTTTGCATCTTCTTAACAGGCTGGCCTCTCGGCAGCACCTGCAAGAGCTGTGTCAGCCGTGAAAAACATGAACCTACCCCAGCAGATCAAGGACATCAAGCTACCTGACCTGCCGTCCATTGGAAATCTCAAGTTCTAGATTTAACAACAGGTTAGTTGCTCGGCCCTTTTGCAAAACTTCATTGGACCACCATCTAGTATGTCTCTCAAGCACACAAAGCTGGTTCGTAGCAAGCACCTATCATTCTAGAGCATATCCAACGCTAGTCACTTTTTAGATGCAAAGGTGCTTATGAACAAGGCCTGTCCTCTGTCACGCTGTAGCCGCCGCTGATGATGACAATGATGCTGATGGGGATGCGGAACAAGCGCTTTCCAGACAACACATTCTCTTTCTGCCAGAACAACACAGCACATGCAAGGTACCCACTATATGCCATGAAGATGACACTGATTACAATGATCACGGGCAATGGCTGGCTTGTGCAGTTAATGACGTCTCGATATGTCCTACGATGCATTTCTTATGGCAGAATACAACCAACAACCACCAGGGGAACGTACCGAATTTACTCACATAATGAACACACCTTTTCTTTTTCAGAAAAGTTCACGCCAATTTGGGGGGACGGTTGATCATGCGGGAAAAAAAAGTCACGAGAGTCACGACAGCAGAAATTTTGCGTGACGGCTTTGCTTGTTTGGGCCCATGAAATGCGCGACAAATCTTTTTTGTAGCCCAAAGCTATTTTTGTTTCCTCTCGTAACGAAAGCGCACATATTAACGCCGAAGTGTCGTCCAGCCACTCGGTTCAAATGCTCCATCACTTGCTGTTTGTAACCAGCCGTGTAGCTAGCGTACCGGCCGAACAGGCCCTGCGTAGCAGGTGTCCCAACTAAGTTCACGACAAACCCAGGAACAAAGAAGTGGCAGCTTCGCCGCAAGGACGAAGCAATGAATTTGATAGCAACAACTTAGAATGTAACGCTAAGAACGGCTAGCAAATCGAAACGTGCAGCGCGCTGTTCACGCACACATGATGCACAAAACAACACACACGGGATGAGAGCGAACTAACAACGTTTACGGCTCAACACTTGCTGTTTAAACAAAAACGTCGCAGTAAACGTAATCACCGACACAGATATGAATGTGAATAAACAAGTAACAAGTGCCCCTGTTCTTACTTTGCTGTATTTGAAAAGCACACTCTTTTCGCAAACGGTGCCTGTGCAGCAGTCATTTTGGTCAAAGCGGTTGTCCCCACTGAAAGATAAGCACGCGCACACAAGCATCTATATCCCCCCCCCTCCCCTTTCATTCGCGGGGCAAAGTACGCGTAGGGGATAAGCGCGCGTCGTGACTGAGCTGGGCGCTGATTGAGGGCGACTTTTTTTATTGGGTTTATATATATATATATATATAAAGCGTGCTAGTCCTCCCGTCGGCCATCATGACCTCAGATGCACATCAAGAGTGAGCAAGAAGCGCACACGCGACACACATGCCAAAATGCGTGGAACAGCTCTGGGCCCGTTTCCAATCAGAAAACGAAACTCATTCAAGCCAGCGTGGCGGGCGTCGCGGAGCGGTGGAGATGGGCGAAGGGGTTGTGATCAAGAGAGGTGAGCAGACTTGCGAGAGAAGGCCAAGGAGTTGCGATAAAGAGAGGGGAGGATGCGGCGGAAGGGCGACCTTGGAAACCAAACACACGAGAAGGAGGCAGGTTGGGTAGCTTGCTTGAAAGGTCCGCAAAACTCGCATGTAGAAAAAATTAAAATGAGTGCCTGCGCGCGCAGAAGTCAAAGGATAGGCGCGTGGGTCGATGCGCGCGGCGGTGTTCGAGGAATCGGCGGCTGTGGTCAAAAAAATGTTTTGTTGCGCCGGCGGGTTTGCGTGGCCTCACGAACTTCAATATTTCGCGATTCCTTCCGCGCAAATTAACAGCCGTTTTCGCGCTTCTGCACGCGCGCAGAAGGGATGCTGAGTCGAGTGCGAAGTGAGCGAGAACAAGTCGTAAACACAAAACGAATCGCAAATGATCAGAGTCGGTGGGTAGCGTACGCGCATGCACTAGACGCAGACTATAGAATAGAATAGAAGCTGAATGAACAGCCTCCTGTTACACAAGTGGGAAGGCATGAAAATTCAGCTACATGTAGCATCCACAGCAAGACAGAGTGGAGAGGTACAGTACAGCATAGCTTGCGTATAATTAGAGCAGGCGAAATTGTACTTATCTGCGTGACTTGTTGCAATGGGAGTGGTATTATAACAAATGTCATTTTTGCCTTTCATGTGTAAAGGCAAAACGCTTTATACATGAAGCACTTCACTACAACACTTTATACATGGAAGGCAAAAATGCTATTTTCTCAGTGTCTCTTCCTCTTTCAACTTCTGTGGAAGCCCAACTGATGTGGTGGACAAGGGTGAATTCCCTTTAAATGCCGAGTTCCAAATATGCCTCTTAGAGATCACTACTATATAAGAACATCGGAAATTTTGGATGCTAATATTTTCGGAGTCCTGGTTTTTGTGCCTACCGAAATATTAGGTCCTACGCGGCATCAATTAGGGCCCCACCTCTGCCACATCTATCATCTCTATGTTGGAACTTGCATTTTCTTGAGTCAATACATTTGCAACCGTAGCAGAGCTCGAAAGGCAGGTTTGCTGCAATACGAGGTGTGATGGGGTGAAGCTTATTAAAGTCTGAAGGGAGCACTGCCAATTGGACATCGGGCAGTTCGGATAATAAAAATCCGGTGTTAATCAAATCTAAGTAAAAATTATGTGGAAAATATTCAAAATTTTGAAAGCTAACTCACCCTTAGTTTTCTTATGTCTGTGAATCAACGTGCAAGTGTGCTCGATAGGTATCTCCATGGTTTTATCTTGGCTGAGTCTACCAGTGTGTGTGGCTGCAAGGTCCTGAGTGCAGTGCCGAAGCTGAGGCTGAGCTGAAATGTAGACGTTAATTTCCAAGGATCACTTTCAGGGGGACTTTTTCAAGGTGTGTGGCTGTCTACGGGCCACAACGATCTCGCACTCCTGCCAGCCATGCTAATTCGCCAGTCCACGAACGACACCAATGCGTCCAGCGATGGTCTCACAAAAATATCGGCAAATGCGAGCACTTAGCAGGAGTTGGGGAACCAACAGTTGCAGCAGCACTAGATGAAAAAGTTGCTACATTCATTTGCTAAAGAAAATGCATTTTGCTGATTTGGAATAACTGGAATGCACAAGGCAGAACATGTATTGTTGTCCTACACAGTGGTTGCATTCCTCAATTTGCATTCATTTTTTTTTTAAATCTGGTTTTTGTGCTAGCAAACGCGGTGTCATCAAACTTATTTTCAAGTGCTATCATGAGCAGAGATAGAAGTCTAATGTTCGCCTTTCTTGTGATTCCTTAATGTATGAAAGGGTTCAGCCTTGTCCCATCAGGGATGCAGCATTTATTGGGTGGGCTTGACCGAGTGCAAAGCGAACAACAGTCTGCTGAATTATTACCCCATATTTTAGACTACTACAGCCCGTTTAGCTAGCTTAATCGTATATTGCGCACACAGTAATAGTTTGAAGGAACCAACTAATGGGAACTGTGTCCTGTCAGGTTTCACTGAATGACTGCACTCTATGCACAGAGTTTCTTAAAATTATCTAGCGCTGCGATCGTTCAGCGACCATGGGAATGATGGGTAGCACACAGATTTGCCTAGTCTTCATGCTTGCGAGCTACAAACGTACAGTGCACTCTCAGTAAATGGAAATCTGTTAAACGGAACTGCTGCCTCCAGCACAATTGGTTTCATACCTGAATTCTACGCCCCAGCTCATCTCTCAGTAAACAGAACTCCTGTTAATCGAAACACGTTTTCTTGGTCCCTTCAAGTTCTGTTTAACAATTGTCTACTGTACTTGTGGCTCTGTTTATTGCTGTGTTTTGATTTTGTTTCAAATCAAAGAACAACCCATTTGAACTTTGTGACCCAATTTGTATTTGAACCTAAAAGGTTAAAGTAGTGAAGTGTAACTGCTTAACAGTTGCTTATTATTGTCTCATGACAAAGCAGCTTCAGGCGATGCAAAGCCATCCGGAGCTAAAAGTACGAAGATTAGACAAATCCGTGTGTACTACCCATCATTCCCATGCTCACTGAAGCACCATGCGTTGCAGCTCCCATGAACACTAGCACCAGAGTTTCCTCTAGTGTATCTATAGGAAACTATGCTCTATGGTATCTTGCTCGATGTCATCAGGGGATAGCTTCTGTCAGCAATCGTGCTGCTGGCAGCGTGTTTAGATGCGAAGCATCTTATGCTGGGGGCTGTGTCCCTCAGTCCTGTACAGCCCCCGCCCCCCACTGCACATGCATGTCTTCTCTCCCTCTCTTGCTTCTCATATGACCCCACCCCTATCTTGCCTCACAACGCCAACAGTGTCTGCTGGCGAGTTTCTTGGTGGAAAAAAACAACTGCTCGCGCTGTACAACCGTTCACTGGCCACCCCATATATATAGGCACTAGATATTGACCTCCAAGCTAGTGCTGGAGGAAGATTTCACCACTGCATTGTTGAACAATAAAATTTGCAGTGTGCGCGTTATTTAAAACTGGACTGCGGGTCCATGTGTCCAATCAGCGTCTTCTGTCTCTCATTGCCCATTAGCATCTATTGGCATGTTCCAGTAGAAAACAGCACTGTGTGCTTTGCGCCTCCCCAGGTTTTTTCTCTGTGCAACGCTGCGATGAGCGTCATCGTCAACGCCGCAGCCAGTGTCACTATTAGCGCCACCACAAGCTCTCAATAAAGTACACCATCTCCTGCTCGAGCGAACCATCTCCCCTCTGCTTCGCATCCACACATGGTTCCTAGGCAGGTGGTGTAATTTTTTCCTCGAAAGCGAAGGCGTTTATAACATCTACTTTGCACTCTGCTTTTGAAATCCGTGGGCCCTACATGACTATGAGACTTGTCTGAGATATTTACACACCTGTCTTCTGAGACATGGTCCAGGTACCTTTTAATAGAATCTATTATTTTACATTTAGAATAGTGCCTTGCATGTATTCCGATTTTTCCAGTATATATTGTAGTTTATGGAAAAGCGTGATCGTCATAATGTTCGCATACTGTTTTTTTACTTGCAGGTTACGTTGAAGCATGGAGGAGACTTTTCTTGCTCTATGGGGCACCCTGCCACTGCATTTTGCTCTTACACTGTGACGTCCTATGTGTTCGTTTTTTCTCTCGTTTTCTGTAAATAAAGCATTAGGAAAAGTGCATAATTTGACTTTTGTTTGTCCGCAGTTTGTGTTGGCGGCCGGACTTTAGAACATCATTAGAGAAGGTGGCACACGCTCTTAATAGGAAATACAACTCAACAGTATCTGATGATTAGCGTGAACAGTATGGTAGCCTTTCAGTGTAAAATTCTGATAGAGGTTGTGCTATTGTTAGAAAATATAAATTCAGAAAAGGTATGAGTATCTACGAGTGCTTCACTATATATATCACAATTTGCTACTTAAAACACCGCCAATCGATAAGAGGATTTAAGTAAATTGTTAGAGAAGCTTGTGGGATTTGGAAACCTGTAATGTCTTCCTAGAAAATGAGATGAAGTTCACCGCATTAGCTTGAAAGGAATTACCAACAATCTGTAATGACAACCTACATTCTTCATTCAAACTTGCCGTCAGTGCAAGCATTCGTGTAACTGGTAAATGTCTTTTTCAGCAAATAAGTCTGTGAAGGGGACACTAGATAGCCATTAAAATTGTTCCATGCTGGGATGAGTAATTACTAAAAGGCCTCGTGCGATGCTGTATGGTCTGCTAAGCTTCTGTGGCACGAGATTGTGGGTAATGTCTTGAGCATTGTTGAATGTAAAAATAATTTATTGTTGAGTGATATGAATTTGCAACACTTTGTTATTTTTCTTACTAGTGAAAATACTAAATGATATTAGCAGGCAGGAATGCTGGCCAGCTGTTTGGGGAAAGAGGCAAATAAATTTATCAAATGCGCATTAGTTAAGGACGGATTAAGCAGTCTACCTGGGCGAGCAAACCTGTTGACTAGCCTTCGCGTGATTGGCCAAAGTCGCGTTTGCGTCGCAGGATTATCTGTTCTGGCCAATCACGCGAGGGCAAGCGAACGGTTCGCTTTCCGGACTGGTGTTACATAGTTTTAAGTATAGTGAACTAGAATTTAGTTCACTTTAGTTTTAAACGCGTTGTAAGGTAGGACTGCACAATTCTTGTGGCAGAGTTATGGGATTTATCAAGGAATCATATCAGCGCGGCAAACGAGGAAAAACTCGGAGAAAAAAAGAACCGATGAGTCCTTGCGATGCATGGCGTAGCAGCGAGCAAACCGAAACCAGAAACTTCGTCTAAAAACGTCGTAAGAGGAGCCGTCGCCTGGCGACACTGGTGTCAACATTGCCGAGATTCGACTGTCTGCATTTAGGCTGGTGGTTTTGACGTGCGGAAGAACGTCCGCCGAAATGAGGTGTCGAAGGTTAAATAAACATTTACGCCTTTGAAAGACGAGATACGACTGCCCTTCGCCAAGTTGCAGGTGGATTCGACGGAGAACCATGTCGCTACTAGCGGATTTTGTCGTTGTGACCGTGTCGCAAGTACGTCAGCGTTCCTACGTGTCGCAAAATTGGGCATCGCGATAAGTCTTCCCTCAACGTTGTCTACTCCATGAAAGTCTAAATCAGAAGTTATAGTTACGTCTGCTGTGCTCTCATTTCTCATACTGCTTCTTGTATAATCATTTTTTAAAAAAGTTGAACCGGGATTATTGCTGGAGCAAACGCATCGACAAGAGGGCTTCTTTTTGTCCGGACAGCAACCCAGGCAGCTCAACTACACGTAGCTTTTACACCGGCTATCCATGAAAAGAGACAAAAAAAGTATATGTGTCCGTCATGATTGAGTAAACTATTACAGTCGACGTAAGTCATGTTAAGTTCAGTGGCAGCTGCTTCAGTGAAGATGAGTCAACTCCGGTTCTGTAACTGTCGAGAGGTTTTAGTTTCAAAATGCCGACGCAGGCTTGTAGTGTGTCGATCGTAATTTTGTATCACATCTTTTGCGTATATAAAGGCGACTTGTATGTGCGACATGTTATGGAAGTCGATTAATAGGTGCGGTAAAAGAAACAAAACTTGTCAGGAGGTGCTCTAGTCCTTTGAACATAAAATCGGCCATCATAAGTCGATTTATTACCTACTTGGTTGCCCGCAGTATTGGCTGAGTCTTGGTTTTGATACTTAACTAGTGCATTACGTTTCACGTTCATAACTTAAACCTTACCTTTCAGGTGGTGTTCTTCGCGGGCGGCTGGGTATTCTTTATGAAGAAGCTATTCAAAGACTATGAGGTAACTTACGCACGTGTACAATAGAAACTACTACTAATAAAAATGCCAGCATGGGTGTTTTGAATAATGGTCGCAGCACATCAGAATAAAGCTGATGCTAATTGTTTACGTGTACCACTGTATCAGCAGGTTCCCTTGAGGTGGCTCTATGTCGCCTGATTATATTATTAGCAAAACAACGCACTGAACTTCGAAAGTAAACGTCTGGGTGACTTGGGGTTCGCCTCGGTGCTTACCTACATTCACCTTTGTCCATTTCTGTTGCATCATCTTAAAAGTTTGATCATATCTTTGTGATCGGCTACTGTGCTGGAAAGTTGTACCTACGAAATGACTAGTTGAATGCTGCTCAGTTCGTTTTAGTGCTGCTGATAAAAACCCAGCTGCGTGCCAAGCTACTTCTGCTAAGTTTTTTTCAAAGCAAGATTGAGTTGAAGGTAATAAGTTCTGCTTCTAGGCAGCATTCAAATGATGTTTCCTGTCTGCCTTTACCCGCTGTGGTAATTGAGTTGCTACGGCCGTTCTGGTGCAGTGAGCAAGGGCTCAGGTTTTGCCGATAAATATTTCAAGCGCGTCAAAGTACCGAAACTCCTCTCTAGCAAGCTTTTCATGACTATTAAAAAATGACAGCGAGTCAAGATGAATCTACAGCTTTATGTGATGCAAGCATTCATAACTTTTACGTTTGAATGATTAAAGCTCTGCATGGTTAAACTTCATCATTTTGATCAACCTTTCTTCTAATTTTGTGTCATTTGTAGCAGATGCAAATGTAATACAACAGAATTTCTACTTGTAGCTTAGCACGTAGTTTCTAAATCTTCATTTGAAGCAGTGTGCACAGTGTCTTGCAAGAAACCATTGCCATCATCCGCATCGGTGGAACAGTGGCTACGGTTCTCGGCTGCTGACCCAAAGATTGCAGGTTTGATCCCGGCCACGGCGTTCTCATTTCGATGGAGGCGAAGTGGTAGAGGCCCGTGTACTGTGCGAGGTCAGTGCACGCTAAAGAACACCAGATAGTCAAAATTTTCGTAGCCCTCCACTACGGTGTCTCTCGCAATGATATGGTGGTTTTGGGATGAAAAAACCCAGGTATTATATTAATATTGAACCAAGGTAATCGTCTTCTACAGGATATTTTGTAAAATATTGACTTCTCTCTGTTCTATGCAGGTTCATCACCTCTCTGTACAGCTACTATTTTCTATAACTTTCTCATTGTCTTGCACGATGTTTGAGTTGATCATATTTGAGATCCTGGGCTTCCTTGACACAAGGTAAGCACTGAATTTTTTGTTTGCCATTCCTGTTTATGCACTTCAACGTAACACAACCATGTAAAATAGTAAAACACAAAATAAAAAATGTCTGAATTGGGGAGGAAGATAAGTTTGAAGCCTTCGGAATGTACAATCCATGACGGTGGCACTATATACGAAGGCAGAAATTGGCAGAAATGGTGTACACTATCTACTGTTATAGTTTTACAAATAAAACTGGCATGCATGGTATCCTAGCTAACAAGACCCAAGTTGTTAACAAAAAGTCGTTGGAAATCTTCCACAAACAGTTTTTGTTATTAGCTGATTAGCTCAAACTGAATTAATAGTGTCATACCTGTTGGTCTAACGAAATCAGTTTAGAAGTGAAAGCTTTTCATTGAGAAAACATATTCAGTACTCCCCAGCCCACTTCATTCACCAAGTGGTGTTTGAGTGATCGAAGCAATATGTGCAAGTGCATAATGATATTGAACTAGCACTCATGAAAGCATTTTTCTTGAAGCTTCTTTTTGTTGTTGTTATTGTTTAACTTTATATTTCATCACAATGAATAAGCTTCCACTGCACAATTTTCATTTTTTGCTGCTGCAAAAGCCATGCAGTGCCTCTTTATTTGGTGTGATGTGCAAATTGATAGCATTGTAGACGATGTTCGAGGGGTGACATCGTCCTCATTTACTGATGCCGAGTTGTTCAATCTGTGTGGACCAATAGGGAAGGTGCCTGCATGATATTGATGCCTCCTTTATCTGCTAACCCAACTCACACAAGTTGAAATTTTCGAGCACCTTTGCATTTAATCACTTCATCAGTAAATCAATCAGTGATTTTTGTTAGTAATTATACAGCCACTTCTTTAGCTTTTATTTGTCAAAAAAAAATTGCATGGCTCCTATTTAAGAAGTCGCAGTTTCGCTGCGAGGGCAAAGCAATGATTGTGATAGCAAGAAACTGGAATGTCGCACGAATAAGGACAAGGAGTTTGATACATTTAGCATACTGTTGAAGCACAAAGAACACTCAACAAGAACGAGCAGGTATGCACCAGGGCAAGCGTAAACTAAAAACTCTCTCAGTTGTTACGTCTTTGTGTTTGAGCAAGGCGCTGAGAACCTGATGCTCTTGGACATTAATTTTTCTATTAAACTGTGATAAGTAGAGAGACCCCTCTGCGTCTCTTGCCACGCAGTGGCGCCTGACCCAAGGTGCTTCCGGTGTTGTTGCTGTTGTTTTTTCTTTATTTTTAAAAACTAAAGTGTTTTGTGCCGCGGCCCACCAAGACTTCAATGACGTATTTCCATCGCGGAAGTGACGACGAAAAAATATGCAGTATCTAAAGACAGAGAAAAATGTTCCGCCATCAGAAGTTGGGCTTGCGACATCTGGGTCTGTGGCAACAGATGCCAGGCATGGTATCCACTGCACCTCGGTAACATAATTTGTACCCTTCAAAATATACCTCTTTTACATCTACCGCAGTCCTATCAGCATTCCTGTGAAAGTGCAGTAATACATCATTACTGTGGCATCCGCAATTAGTTCCTTCAACGCATCATTTTTAAGCATGCGACCCATTCAACGCGCTTCTAATAGGAGCATGTGTGGTTTTGTCAATGCCAGATACACCCCCAGGTGGTGATCTTACCTCATAGCATTCATCCATAGCAAAAAATAGCTCTGCCATGCATTTGCTTCGTCTGGATTTAAATTCAGTTTCGTCACCGCCCTGCAAAAAAATCGTGGCCGGTCAATAGACAAGACACAACACGCATTACTTTTCTCTCTGGTTAGGCTGTGGCATTCAATAACTCCATGTCGCGAGTAGGCAACCCTAGTCCAAGTTCGGCGTACAATCAATCCCGTTATTCTGGCTGTCACATCGCTTTCTCTGGTCCTGCACTCACCTATCACCGCAAGGGTTTGTTTAATCATTATTCATGAATGTTAGTCGTCAGAATGGAGATGTGGAACTAGGTTTTAACGAAGATGCATCCACCTTAAGGGGTGTTATAGCTGTTAAACACCAATAAACATTGCGCAAGCTTTCTTATATGAATGTGCAGTAAACAATAAACTACTTCTCTAAGGATAGTCTTTGCTTTCGTGTTCTACAGGTACCTATGATGGAGGGATAAAACATGTTTCTTTTCGTCTTCTCTGCTGCACAACACAAGTGGCTACAGAAAGAGGCCCATTTTGCATGCGCGTCTCAAGGGCAGTTTTCAAATTGAGAGGAAATGTTACAGCATTGCACAATAGGAAACTTGCTCAAGCTCCTCTAAAGTCCGTGTACCGCCATCGGTAAATGGTGTATATAAATAGCTCGCTGTTATTTCACTGACGCACGTTTGACACATGATAGAGTGGTCTAATGAAGAGCATGGTGGAGCGATGGGTTGTGGTTTAAATTCGGATTGGGTACTTCAATGTTTTTTTAATTTATTTTTATTTTTATTCAAACCTTCTATACATATATATATATATATATATATATTCATCCAAGACATTATGGTAATGGCAAGAAACCTCTGATGGTGTTTCTATAATTGCTATCACAATAAAACACTGTAGTTTAGGTAACACATGACCTGAGAGTCATGTTGTTCTTGTTGTCACATTTCACTTCAAGTTTTTTTATTATCTTGGTTCCAATTAGTTTAGACACTTTGTGTAACACTGTAAAAAATATGTCACTTGAAGTGCTTTTGTGTGTTTCTGTGTGGATGTCTGAGGGAGAGAGTTCATTCTTTCATTTTTTTATTTATGTTTTCTACTCCTAACTTATGGCCTTATGTTGTTAGTTACTAAACTTGCTTTTTGATTTGTCAAGCTCTCTGTATCGTAAAGCAGTCACTTTTTCGTTTCTGCATTGTGATAATGTTATCGCACATGTGCTAGCTATATCGGTCATGCATGAATGTCTATTCATCATTATGTATTACTATCTGTTTTTTCAGTTCTCGATATCTCCACTGGAAGCTTGGATTGTACGCCATTTTGTTTATGCTAATAGTGTTTCTTCCATTTTATATTGGCTATCTTATAATCAGCAATGCACGTTTTGGTGAGTATGCAGGTTCGAACTTATTTGTGGTTTTTTCGCTCACCTGTGTATGTAAGAGATACTACTCCTATCATGCTCATGCGGGAATCTGGTAAAGGTATCTAGATTCTGCAGTAACTATTGATGCAGAAACAAGGGAGCAACAAGCAACTACTGTAATTCAGGCAAAAGATAATTTCGGACAGTGCATTTTGTCAATCAGTAAATCAATCAGTTGCTCAGTCTGGGAATCAATAGACAATATTTGTTTACCAGTTATCGCATACAGAAATATTCGCACTTGGCATTACACCAGAAACTCTTCTAGTTGCTGCTTAACAATAAATACTGTAGTTTGTTGAAGACATGCATAGACAGTAGGTTACTTTATTTGATTATACCACGTGTTATTTTACCAATATGTCTGCAAAAAAGTTACTCAAGCACACCTGTTCGAAGCTACTGCACTTAATTTATCCCCCATTTCGTGAAATAACCGTGCAGCCTGCTCTGAGGTTGCTGGTGTGTTGATGGCATAGGTCAGCAAATAATTGGAGCTCATTCAAGACTCATTCAAGAAGTATAATTTCCTCAACCAAACTCGCCTGATCTCGAACTCGCCAGCGTACTATGCAGCTGGACTCACTAAGACTCAGACTCGCGGCTTGGCATGAGCCTGAACCAGACGACTCATGAGTCTATTAGTGTAAAATTCACTTTTTCAAACATAAAATCAATGCTTTTTAATGCCGATATGTCAGCTAATCGGTGCTCTACGATACGCTTTCTGATCTTGCACGTTCAATTACGAGTTGCCTGTAGTTTCAATCCAGTAAGGAAATTTTGTTGAACCCGCAACTTGTGCGAGATATTTTTGAAGAATTCCTATCAAAAGGCACAGGGGGAGGTCGTGGCTCCTCCTCCCCCAACTCCCCTAACTCACGCCTCTGATCAATAAATATTAAGGTATCGTATGAATGCTAGAATGTTGAGGTATTTGTGAACATACTTGAGTATAGCCTTAAGCTGGTATAAGACAGATAGTAAGGCCGAAAATGAGTTGATGGAGTCATAGGTCAGCAACAAAAGATGGAGCTTAGTCAGACTGTCTCAAGAAATATATTTTGCACGTAAGGCTTATTAGAACTGAAACGCGCGAATATTTTCGCCAACAGGACTCACTCGGACTTTGATTCTGTAACATTTTTCTGAACCGGGCTTACATAAACTCAGTAACGTAGCTTTCTGGGCGAGTTGGTTCATAGTAATGGGAAAAAAGAACCAGCAAAAACTACACGAAGATGGCGAAGAATAACAACCACACAGGACAAGTGCTTGTCCTGTGTGATTGTTCTTCTTCTTCGCTCTCTTTGTGTGGTTTTTCGCTGGTTCTTTCTTTCTATTATACAAACTCAAACTCGCCAAAATATTACTCACCCCGACACAGACTCACGGCTCGATGTGAGTCTGTGCGAGTCTACTCATGAGTGAGTTTGCTGACCTATGGATGATGGTATAACTAACTGCACCATGGCAAGTGGTCTAGCTGGCTTCGATATAAATTTAGCCTTTAGATTGTTCATTGTTACGTTGTATTTAGTAAATATCTTGACAGTGAGTTATTGCTGCTGTTCATCTATTCCTTACATATGTTTATGTGCAGTACGTGCGAGGCTCGTCAAGCCACTTGCACTTGGTGCGTGGCTCGTGTTCGTCTATTTATTCTGGAAGATTGGAGACCCGTTCCCAATCCTAAGCCCAAAACATGGTATGCTTCTTCTTGTTTAACTTTGTCATCTCACTTCGTTTCTGACTGCAATTAAGGCATTGCATATGACAATACATTTCATAGGGTCATGGGAACACTACATGGTGAAAAAAATTGCGACTTGTATTTTTCCGTGAAGCTCGAAATGTCAGGTCCGCATTTGCACTCACACGATTTGTACCGTGACAACATTCACAGAAAAGCAAAAGTGTGAGAAGTGCATCGCTCATAATAAAATCTTGTGGCAATCTATCTACCAAGCAAGTTCTTGAAAACAATAAAAGTCGTGTACTGTACTGCATTATATGTAATGGCATATCTATGGTAATCTTTGTGCATACATCAACAGCAGGCTTGATATTGTGGTGAAGAGAAACACTGTGAAGTCGTTAACATTTTCTAGAAAACTGTAATGCTGTCGCATGAAAATGGAGTTATGAATCATGTTACACCCGCGAGTCTTATGGCTGAGGTTGTGAATCAAAAAATTAAAATGGTGCTGCCAGAAGAATTTGACATGTGCAGTTATTAACATTTTTTTCTAGAGCACTGAAAGGTTGCCATGGATTACAACAAAATTTATTTCTCAGTGTTGCTTCGATTTGTACAGATAGTTAAAATTCTTCAAAGTACTCTACTTGGGCATTGATACATCGCTGCCAATGTGATTTCCGTGTTGCAAAGGGTCTCCGAAACTCAGCTGTCGTGACATTTTTTACAGAGACTGCGACAGCTCGTTAGGTAGCGGGAATACCCTTGAAATAGTGACCTTTGTGGCTTCTTTTGAGCTTTGGTAACAGGAAGAGGTCTGCCAAGGCTTATATCAGGTCTTTATCAAGACTGCATCAGCCCTGTTGTGAGCCTGGCTGACTTTGTCCCTGTTTTAATTGCTTGGGAGAAGCCTGAAGTGCAATTTTTGCCACGGTATTCCTGCCTTCCAATAAGCTCTAACAGTCTCCAAGAGAGGCCATGTACGCTCACTTTCGGGAGCCTTTGCTGCACAGGAACCACGATGGCAGCAGTGTGTCGGCAACCGAGTAGGCTATTTTGGATAATTTTAATACAGTCGAACTCGGTTATATCGAACCCACACATGTAGAATTTTCGAGTATATTGGACTCGCAAGTTATCCCCTTGAAATTCCTTTGTAAAAGTATAGAGATTCACACGTTTATATCAAAACGGTATTCTTACCTGCCTTCGGATATATCGGACGCCGCGCGAGCTAGAAGGTGCGCTTCGTCATCCACTGCTAGAAGCAGTGGATGAGGAAGAGTGGCCGGAAATCTCCGCAAAGTTTTGTCTCGCGGAAATTTTCAATGCCTGGCAAAACGTGAAGATGGACACAGTGGTCAACTGCTTCTGCAAGGCAGGCTTTGAGATGGCAAAACTTGCGGAAACCGGTGAAGATGATGACGACAAGTGCATAGACGACAAGTTTCGAGAGTTGTAGTCTCGCCCCCTGGCAGCAGTTCCACACGAAGTGTCTGCGGGCGACTTCGTGGAAGCGGACTTTAATGTCCAGGCTGACAGCTCATGTGACGAGGAGGATCGTGTGGACGAGGCGATGGCTACACGCACGTACTGTGCCGCTGAAGTGGCGGCAGCATTCGGCATCATTCGCCGTTGTATCGGCCGCATGAAGGGAATCGGGCTGTTGCACCTGAGCAGCCTTGATAAAATCAAGAGTAGTGTCTTCAACATTTTAAAAACGAAGAAGCAGGCTAAGATTATTGATATTTTTCATGCAAATAAATCATTCTGTTGCCGCGTGTGTGCAGAATTAGTTGTCATTCTTGAATGCACCTATTGTAGGTGATGATCGGCTACAGGGAAGCTCTCGAGGATTCTATTTTTTTATATCGAACTTTTTAATATATCAAACTAATTCGCGACCTCCTTCGAGTTCGATATGTCCGTGTTCGACTGTAATGTGTTCCAATCGTATCTATGCTTTTCTTCTTAGCCAGACCCAGTCTTATTGTTTTGTGGACAAACCTTGCACTCTTTCATGCTGTAATTTGGTACTGCAAATGGACTAGAGGCTGCCAGTTTCTGTGTACGCTGATTGGTCCATTAGGTTTCGGGATTCACAGATGGCATATGTGGTGCGATTGCTGTAACAAGCCTGTTGCCGAGCATGGTTTCAGGCGCAATCTCTTTTCAGGCATACTCTCGATTGAGCAAGTCATCAGCCGTGTGGGTGTCGTGGGTGTCACGCTTATGGCTGTGCTCTCTGGATTTGGTGCAGTCAACTACCCATACACCTCTATGGCCTACTTTATGAGGTGAGTGGCAGTTAAAATTGTGTATAGAGCTGAACATGAGCATGCACGTTATTAGAAATGGTGTTAAGTATACATTATAACGTGATTGATACGTGGGGTTTAACATCTCAAAACCACCATATGATTATGAGAGATGTCGTAGTGGAGGGCTCCGGAAATTTCGACCACCTGTGGTTCTTTAACATGCACCCAAATCTGAGCACACGGGCCTACAACATTTCCGCCTTCATCGGAAATGCAGTCGCCGCAGCCGGGATTTGATCCCGCGACCTGCAGGTCAGCAGCCGAGTACCTTAGCCACTAGACCACTGCGGCGGGGCGTAAGTTCTAACCTGAATATATAGAATCTGAAGGGGATCACAAGATAATTTGGTGTATTGGTAATTCATATGAATGGTATTGGGCTACGTAGGACCCACTTAACTGTAGAGCAGCTATGGTTTCATTCACGGCTAGTACACCTAATAGCATACGAAGCTGTATAGTGGTGAAGCTTGCTAAAGGGAATACAGTGTCATGTAAGTATGGCCCTTGCTGCATAAGTCATTGGTATTTTAAAACACGTCGCCAGCCATTTTTACTTCAATAGCAATTATATGGACACTACAGACACATTTATTGCATTGTCGTTTGGGTTCCAGTAAGGTTTTTTATCAAGTCCAAGTTGTATGTTTGATGTGCGAACGAAGGCAGGCATGCGAGGGCAGCCGGCAATTGCGGCTCGAGCAGAGAGGAAACATCGGCCATCTTGCGTCGTTTCAAAGACCCATGGGGGTCTTGGAGAAAGTGCTGTGTGGCACTGGCGAGAACTGTGTACTTTGACCAGCCAGGCAGCCATGCACGCGCTTTTTAACTGAGATTAGCAGATTGGATTGGATTGGATTGGATAAACTTTTATTTGGTCCTCCAAAACACAGATCACTGTGTTGCGGGCAGCTCCCACGTGGGGACTGAGATGCCAAGCTCCTCAGCCGCCTCGCGGGCTTGGTGGACAGCCCAGAGCTGATCTGCCAAGGATGAGCTGCGGATTGCCGCCTCCCATCTGGCAGAGGTGATGTGCGATAAATGAGCGAATTTGGTGCACTGCCAGAGCATGTGTTCTAATGAAGCTATTTCCCCACAATGTGGACAAAGATTACTTGGATATAGGTCAGGGTACATGATGTGTAACATTTTCAAAGTAGGGTACATCCGCGTTTGCAAAAGCCTTAATGTAAGTGCTTGGGGCCGGGTTAGATTTTTGTGAGGTGGAGTAAAAATCCTTCTAGAGAAGTAGAAATGTTTAGTGAGCTCGTTATATGTTGTAAGAATTTCCCGGCTATCCCCTTCACCGCTAGAACGCATCCCCGGGGAGGCGCGGTTGGAGAGTTCTCGCGCCGCCTCGTGTGCTGCTTCGTTGAGATTGGGAGGGGAATCGTTGATTTGTCCAAGGTGAGCTGGGAACCAACTCAGAAGATGATGTGTTATGTTCTTGCCTTGCAGTATTTTTAGAGTTTGTTCACAGACCGTCCCCTTGGCGAACGCCCGTAGTGCTGCCATGGAATCACTGTAGACCACTTCAATGTTATCCATCTTGAGTGCTAAGGCGATGGCCACTTGTTCCGCAATGATTGGGTCTTTCGTCCTGACCGTCGCTGAGTTGACGACATGGCCAGCCCCATCGACTACCACTGCCACAAACGCTTTCCCATTGGCGTAGGAAGCCGCGTCAACAAATACGACCCCTCGTTCCTCGTTTGAGACTTGACGAAGTATAGTCCTGGCCCTCGCTACTCTTCTTCCGACGTTGTGTTCTGGATGCATGTTTCTCGGTATAGGAGATACCGTGATAGTCTCCCTGATGTTGTCAGGGATATCATTGTAATCGCGTCTGATTGCTATTGGGTTTTCGCCCAGCTCCTGCAGGATCATTCTCCCCGACCTTGTAGTAGATAACCTTGCAAACTGTGCTCTCTCTTGGGCTTCTGCTATTTCTTCGAGCGTGTTGTGTATGCCAAGCTCAAGCAGACGCTCGGTGCTGGTATGTATGGGTAGGCCCAGGACCTTCTTGATAACTTTCCTGAGGAGCACATTCAGTGTCTCGGACTCTGCTCTTGACCAGTTGTGCATTGCTGCCTCGTAAGTGAAGTGACTTAGAACAAACGCATGCATCAACCTGATGAGGTTGTCTTCCTTGATCCCATTTCTTTTGTTGGCCACTCTGCGTATGAGGTGCACCGCACTGTCTGTTTTCCGAGTTAACTTGGCTATAGATTTGCTGTTGGCGCCGGTAGACTCTATCAGCATTCCCAGGACTTTGATGGAGTCGACCCTCTGGATGGCATCCCCTTGATTTGTACGGAGATGGATCTCTATCTGGTTTAACGGCTTCCATCCCCTGGGCTTTGGTCCCCGGCGTGCAGTCCGATAAAGCAAAAGTTCTGACTTACTCGAGGAGCACTTGAGCCCGGAAGGGCGAAGGTAGTCTTCTACGGTGTCAATCGCCTCTTGCAGAGCGCTCTCAATCTGCCCCTCGCTTCCACCTGTGCACCAGATGGTAATGTCATCTGCGTAGATGCTGTGCTTCAATCCTTCAATGCTCGATAATTTCTTTGACAGTCCAATCATGGCAATGTTAAACAGCATTGGTGAAATCACTGCCCCTTGTGGCGTGCCCCTTGCTTCTAGTTCGATTTCTGCGGTCTCGATATCTGCAATCTTCATCACGGCTTTCCGATCTGTAAGAAAGGACCACACGTAGTCATAGAAGGCTTTCCCTAGACCAAGCTTGGAAATTGCTTCGAGTATGAATGAATGGTGGATGTTGTCAAACGCTTTTTCTAGATCTAGGCACAGAATGGCTCTCACGTCTCTGGTTTCATTGTCAATGACCTGATGTTTGATAAGCTTCAATGCATCTTGTGTGGATAGCCCTGCCCTGAATCCAACCATATTGTGTGTATATATGTTGTTATCTTCCAAGTACTTCTTTATCCTGTGCAGTATGGCATGTTCTGCGACCTTGCCGATACATGATGTCAAGGATATTGGCCTCATGTTGTCCAAGTTAGGGGGCTTTCCTGGCTTAGGAATAAGGATCGTGCTGGCCAGCTTTCACTGCTCTGGCACCCTGCCTTCTTTCCATGCTGAATTGATCATATCCCTCAGGGTTTCAATTGAATCGTCATCAAGGTTACGCAGGGCCTTGTTTGATATACCGTCCGGACCAGGGGCCGACCTGCCGTTGAGATCATGCAAGGCTCTTCTGATCTCCTCGATGTTAAAGTCGCCCTCAAGACCTGGATTTGACGTGCCCTGGTACTGTCTACTTGGTGGTGCCAATCCTCTTTTGATTGGGAGGTACTTATGCACGAGCTGCTGGACAACTTGCTGTTCTGTAGTGCGCTCTATCTCTTTATGCAAAATTCGAGCGATGACATGCTTTTGATTTGTTTTGGTGGTGTTTTCGTTGAGGAGATGCTTTAACATATTCCATGTCTTGCCATTGCGCATCTGACCATCGACGGAGTTGCAGATTTCGTCCCATTGCTGCCTCGATAGTGCGCGACAATGTTCCTCGACTGATCTGTTTACCTCAGCTATCTTCTTCCTCAGTCTTCGGTTCAGGCGCTGACCCTTCCAACGGTTCAGTAGTGCTTGCTTTGCCTCAAGAAGATGAGCAAGCCGGCTATCCATTCTTTCAACCGGAAGATCTGTGGTAACGGTGGAGGAGACGGATTTGATGTCATCTTTAATCTGTTTGACCCACTGCTCCAAGCCTTGTCTGTGACCATCTTGTTCCCTTTCCATCCTTATCTTCCTGAACTTATCCCAGTCTGTGAAGTGGAATTCTCTCTGCTTTTTACGCTCCACGGAGAAGGTAGTGGCAAGAATGCAGTGGTCACTCCCTAGGTCTACAGCAAGGTTCATCCACTGGGCTTTCTTGATGTTCCTTACAAATGTAAGGTCCGGGGTGGAATCCCTGCAGCAAGATGTACCAAGCCTTGTTGGTAGGCTGGGGTCTGTGATTAGGGTGAGATCAAGTTCACTGGCACTTTGCCAAAGTCGATTTCCTTTCCCAGTGTTGTACTTGTAACCCCATGTATGATGAGGGGCGTTGAAATCACCTGCTATGACGAGTGGACATTCCCCAGTGATATTAACAGCTTTCTTTAGAACCGTCTTGAACCCTTGCTTTTGTTCCTTTGGACTGCTGTATATATTAAGAATGAAAATGCTCTGACGGTTGCTGGTACCCGGCACGATCTCTACCAAGACGTGTTCCAATCGGCCTGCTTCTATCTTGAGGTCATGGGTTACGTGCGTTAGTTTGTTGCATACGAAGGTACAGACTCCCCTCCCTTCAGTATCCCCTATTACAGGCCGGAATCCAGGCAACGTTGCTTGCGGTGAAAGGGTCTCTTGTAATAATATAATATGAGGCTTTTCTTGGCTGCTCCTGATATACTGCTGCAGGGTTGCCTTCTTTTTAAGGTAACCTCTACAGTTCCATTGCCAGATACGAAATGCTTCACGTAGCGCTGCCATCATGGTTATTACATGGGTGGCCAGAGCCTGATGCTGCACCTGTCGACAGGTTTGGTACCACTAGTATTGGTGGCCGAAGGGGTGAGCTTGGTGCATGAGGAGGCCTTGCTGTGTTGTGCAGATATGATTCGACCTTTGTAATGCGCAAAGTCATATGCTCTTCCAGTGCCGCCACGCTTGATTGTAGCCTACCCATCTGCTCGCTAAGATTGGCTACTACTTTGCTGAGCGTGTCAAACACCTCTTTCATATCTGACATGGTCGTTTGGTTGGCTTCCACGTGTTCTGCCATGACTGCCCTCTTTTTCGCGGTTCTCGAGTCCCCCACGTTTTCAGCCACAGGGACATCAACTGGCTGAGGCATTGGGTGTGAAGATTGCGCGCTGGTTAGCTTAGTGAGAAGAATTTTTATTTCCTTTAACTCAGCTGATAGCCTCTCATTTGATTTTGTAAGTCTCGCGTTTTCTTGCTCTAGCTGTGCAATTCTATCATGCTCTGGCAGCTTACCTGTCATCACCTCTGCCCCGCCGTTGCGCACTCGCTCAGCCCAGCTGCCTTTCGAAGTAACTGCAGGCGTCCTCCCCGGATGTGAAGCCATGATCTCGAACTGAACGCCAGGTAGCTGGCCGTTCGGGTGCCGCCCAGGCTGATCCCGACCCTGATGGTGACCTTGAGAACACGAGCGCCCCCGTGATTGGGAGCGGGCCTTGGGTCTAGAACCTCTTCTGGAACGCGACCTCCCCCTGGAGTGGGGCCGCCTTTCCTGTTCTTGTGTAGTCTGGATGCTCTGGGTTCCGTAGGCTGGAATAAGCTGCTTGTCATTGATGTCTGGACTCGATGTGATTGATGCTTCCCGGGCTTCTGCAGCTGCTCGCGATCTTTCCCAACGTCTGCGTCTGACGACGTATGGCACTAAGAACCTGTTCTTGCACTCCTTGTCTGCCGTGGGATGGTGACCGTCGCACAGCCTGCATCTTGGATTGCACTGGTGCAGGCTATCTGGGTTCTTGATTTCGCAGCCTCTGCAGATTGTTTCAGCTGGGCTCGGACAGACGTCAGCCCGATGTCCCAGCTTTCCGCAGACGTAACAAATATCGATGTTCTTGCGGTAAAGGGAGCACTGCAAAAGTGAAGGTCCATATCTCACGAACCTGGGCACCTTGTGTCCTTCGAACGCTATGATGATTGTCCCGGTGTTCTTGATTCTCTTGGCCTGCAGCGCGAGCGGGTTGTTCGCGTTCACAATCCTTCGGGTCAAAATGTCCTGAGTATCGCTTACGGGGATCCCGCGAATCACTCCTTTACAAGTGTCGTGTGGTGCCGCGGCGCACGCGCTAACCTCGAAAACTTTGCCTCCAATGTCAATTTGCTTGACCTTGAGGTATCTTGAAGCTCTGTCTTGGTCCGGAGTGCTTGCCACCATAATGTTCTGCTGCAAGTTGGAACAGATGATGTCCTGCATGGCCTCTTCCTCTTTGACGCCGGCCGCCAGTACTATCGCGTCTGCCACGGCTCCAGTGCATATTCTCGAGATATTTAATCCTCCACGTGGTCGTAGCACAATTTTGCTGAAGTCCTTAGGTAGTGGCGGCATGCGTCCAGCTCGCACGATTGTATGCTTGGTGTCATACCTACTACGACTGGCTCGAGCGTCTCCCGCAACGCCGGCCTCGGTCGAACCCTTGGCAGCAGGAACGCTAACCGCGGCTTGCTTATTCCTTGAGCGTCTTGTTTCGGCTTCCTTCCAACCCATTTCTTCCGTGCAATCCTCTGGAGAGATGTCCTCTCCATCTACTTGGTATTCCATTCTCAGTTGCAGATACTGGAACGCGCAGAGCGTTGAGTCGCGTTGGCGCCGGGCCGGCGCATCGGCGACAATCGCCTCCTTGGTTAGGCCTAAATTCCCCGGTGGCGTTGCCGTGTAAAAATGTCCCAAAAAACGGTTTAAAAGTCCACTCACCGGCACAAAGGTGGTATCTGCTGATTTCTTAAGAACTTAGGCACACGATGAGAGTAAAAACTCGGCGACAAATTCGTGAATACCACAGGAAAGCATTCTTGAAAGCAGGAGCCGATCTTCACGCGTCCGCACTGGTCGGCACCTAGAGCGTCTCCTGAGATTAGCAGATGGCTCAGACATTTCAAGTGAAGCATGAAGGTAGTTTCGCCACTGCAGTGGACATGTTTCCTTACGCCACCATTTTGTTCAGTGTGTTTTCTCTTCTATTCAAGGCCTTTTTTTTTTATCAGCATCTAACAGAACAGTAGCGTTCTGGCAGCATATTACAAATAATAAACGTAAATCTTGGCTTTGTCAGAGAAGGGCACTTACAGATGCTCAGCATGGCTTGATATTCGGTATAGTAGTAATCAGATATGGCGGTGAATCTCTTCGGTGCACTCATAGTGCTGTACTTTTGCATTGTTTATAAGAAAATTAAACAGCTGTTCAATGAAGTTAATAACTTGATATACTCACACTCATGTGTATTTGTTTTCATCTAAAAAATTATTATGATTAATTATTATGCCTTGTTAAACTATGAAGATGTTTTTCTTTTAAAGTTATTGACCTGAGAAAGGTCAATAATTCGACCTTTGTTAGTTCTATCTTGCATTACATTCCTAATTACGGTTCATATAAAACATTATTTTTTTTTTCTTTTCGCCAATTCTCTTTGTGCTACTCTGTACAAGAAACTTGATTACTAGTTGATTAGGCGCTGCTAGTTCTGAACATTTTCTCTTGGATTGCGCCAGTTATTGCTTCAGGTCTCACAACAGTATTTTTGTTACTTCTACAATGACACGTTTATTGGCATATGCTCTAATGTATTCTGTGATTTCAAATTTTACAGGGTAGTTACTCTCACCGATGTGCAAAACATGGAGAAGAAACTCCTTCAGACGCTTGATGTAATCATCATGAAGAAGAAAAGGTTTGGGGCTGCTTGTGTTCTCTCTCTTTTTTTTTATGTTATGTTATAATTGTATCTTTAGAGACAGTGATCTTTTCAGTGCTTTTTTGTCAAGATATCTTGACTGTGTGAATTACACACAAAAAACATAAAAAATAAAAGTGGCACTGAGCATTCCGCATGCAAAACCTGGTTGTATTGATTACTGCCCCCCCCCCCCCCCAAAAAAAAAATTGTATTTAGCTTTGGTTGATCTTGCAGTAAGGCGGAATAAGAAAGTTACGATGTTCTTGCATGTTGTTGTGTTAAAAGTTCATTTTTTTTTTATGAAGTCCTCATTTCATTTATATACCAAGGGTACAAAAGATACCATTCACAATCTTTCTACTGGGCTCTGGAAAAGAAAGTATACCCAGGAAAATCATAACACTTGATAATGCCTGTAACTGTGCTGCACTTGAGACCATAGGCTGCTGTCATGGAAAAGTTTATTTCAATTTTAGATGAACGCCGATAAGGTATTGAGAGCATTCTACATAAATCTTGCTGTAGTTCTGGTAGTTGATCCTAGCACTGTGCCGAATTCCAACAAATAAACAGTGGAACAAGGGTTAATACCACACACATTCCACCAATTGTAAAGATTCTTAACTGCTGAAATTTGGAGGACCACCATGGCTCACCGTCACAATGGGCTATGGACTCCTGGAAATGAGCAGTGAACTTGAGACACACTGGTGATAATTTGTTCGTGTTTGTCTCATTTATGTGGTACACATTGCTGCATAAATTATGTAAAAATTTCATGTGTATAAAATGTCTCCTAAACCCTTGTGAAGGTCCACTATGTTTAGAGCGAGAAATGGCGAAAGCTTTCAGGGCTAAGCACAAAAAAAAACAAAAAAAAGATTGTTAGTAAGCCTTGCTTTTTGGCCGACAGTTGTCCTGATTTCTTTGTTTTAAAATTTGAGCACTGCTGCAGATGAGTAGTTTGCTACGAAATTATTTTTGAATTTGTATCTAAGGACACAGGTTACACATGTTGGAATATGTGAATTGAGCTGCGTTGTCCTGTAGATTCTGGGTGCAATATTCGTTGTACATAAGAAAGGTGTTGTCATTTTTGTCATGTCTTACCACAGGATCGCCCTGGCCATGAGGGAGAAGCAAAAACTGTCGGCATCGGGTCGTCAAACCACCGGCATCTGGGGCATGCTGCAGAGCGTCACCTCATCTGCAGCCAGCGGTACTGAAGGTGTGTTAATATTATGAGACTAGCAATTGCATACAAGTGTTGGTTGCATCGTAATTAGAAAAGGTTCTACGAGATGCAATTCCTAGTCTTATTAGTTGTTTGCCAAGTACGATAGAATGCACAAAAGCCAACAAAGAGGCTTTTTAGGCATGATTACTTGAATAGGTAATCTGGCATGCTGATTTAAACAGCTGCAATTTACGTACTGAGTGGGCTGTATTTACCCACCATTTCGGTTTACGAGGAAAACGTTTACCCCTATATTTTTCACTCCCCTTTCTGCTCAAGCTAGCCGCAAAGTTTGGATGGCATTGCAGGCACGTGCTATGATACACAAAAATGGGCTACGAGTGCATAGTTCTTTGCAAAACTGAAGCATTGATGGACTGGCTTGACTCTGTCTGGGGTAAGCAGCCGGGGTCTTTGCTGTGAATGCCATCACTGCTGGCACTCGAGAGTTTTAAAGGACATCTCATAGACAGTGTGAAGGAAAATATTTCAGGACATGAGGACCAATGGGGTTGTTATCTATGGTGGCCTCAAATCTGTTCTGCCCCCAACGACCACGTGCACCAGATGTACGTTAAATGAATGAATAGTGGAAAGCAGTTCCTCTGAGAGAAACATGCGTGGATACTCTCTCCTGGAACCTGGTCTCTCCCAACATTGTAAAGAAATGTTGCAAGTATACGGGGTATCGAACGCACTCAGCAGAACCAAGAATGGTGCACTTTGGTAGGCTGGTGAGAGGCTGCGACGTCAGTTCAAAGTCGGACTTCGCAGCCAGTGATTCCAACTATGGTCGGTGACAACTCAAGAATAAATATAGGCTCCACACACGAGGCCTCAATGCCCTTATTATTTCCATGCCTTTGCGCTACAAAGGAAGCAGTTCCCAAGCAGTGCCTGTAATTTTCAAGCATCAATACCTACAGTATTTGATTAGCTTTGAAATACACAATGCGAAGCTTGATAAATTAACTTGAGAAGGCGCGGACTTCCGCGTCAGCTTAGCAATATATCTCTTGTTTAAATCGCACCCCTCACTGCGCTCATCTCGGAGTCTGCGAAGAAGCAATGCACATTTCTCGAATCGTATGTTTCTGCGTGGTACCTAAAGTTGCACTAAATAAACAATGAAATATTTAAAGCAACGTTTAACACTAAAGAATTGTTCTTTTGCGGTTTCGCAAAATGAAACGGGCAATAAACTTATTTCATTAGGTTGGTTGCAATTTTTTTACGAAAATTTCGCTGCCTCGTTTCTTCGCCATCTTTTGTAACTATAGAAACTATGACACATAAGCGATCCGAGATTGACTTCGCCAATTTTGATTCTTGTGCTGCCTTAAATACCAAATGTGCGTTTCGTGTCGCCACACTTGTCATCATGTTTGAGGTAAACGCCAATGTTTCATTCGACGTCTTGTTTCATCGAAATGAAAGCGCAGAGCGCACATTGTGCATAACAGTGGGGGTCATTGCATACATTGTAGTTAAGTTAATGGCCAAGGCGATGTAGGTGGCTAAAGTAGTGGCGACTAGAAGCTGTAGGTGAAGTTTTTTTTTTTTTTTCTTGCTTCAACAACTTTCACTCCATGCTGTTGCCACCACCCCATCAGCCCTTGAATATTCAACTTTTTCAAAGCAGGGCCCAGTTTTGCCGCAACAGGGGGCACTACCTTCAATGAACGTGCCTGTGCGAAGGTGTGTCTGTGCAGGCAAGGGGTTTTCTCTCTCTGATGAATGCGAGTGAATAATGGGCCAGAGGGAAGTGCAATGCGTCCATCTTTTCTTTCATGAGACTGTAGTTTAATATAAACAAGTTCTCTTTATGCATAATACACGCATGCAATACAAGCAAAATTTTAAAAATTTACAAAAAGTAAGACTTACTAATATGATATCGTTAAGGATGATTCAATGTCTTAGAAACAAAATGTTTCTTTTTTTTTTGCTCAGCAGTAGTTTTAGAGGCGTCACTTCAGTGATGATCACGATCAATGTAACTGATCATGATTGATCGTGATCGCTGCGTCGATAACGATTATTGCAGCAATATTACATAGCTCACGCCATTTCCTGGTTTGAAGAACCTCGCACTGCGTTTTTCATGCAAGGAGTTTGTACTTCGAGCGTGAGACATGCGCTAACGCAACAAACACTTCAATCTGGCACTTAACCAGGAGCCAGTAGCAATAGATTCTGTTAAAATGATGCAGCTGTGCCAATGGGCACACGTCAAAATAATTACACACACATACGATGACCACAATTCGCTTTTTAATGTATACACCAATCCATATTCTCCCCACCTGGATTGTTTACTCTCGTACTGTGTGACGCTGGCAGGCCCTCTCGGTTGCTTTTTTATCACACCTCGCCCGCACTTACAATAGTCATATGGATGCGCAACACAGCTCATATCGCAAACGATCACCAAGATTCTCACGTTGCAACACCCAAGTAGTAACACACTCACACACGCACATGCGGCAGCACTGATTTCACACCTTTTGCGGGCGGTAAATCACAGACGCCACTTTGCACAGAACACACACATGCACATAAGGCTTCACCTTCACCTTACTGCACACGAATGACCACAACGACAATCGTTGAGAGTGGTCATCCTAGAGATGCAGAGAATAGACGCCGTGTTACTGCTTCACGCTGCCAAACGGACGGAATGCGGTGAAGCTCTGCCGCTTCGGTGCACTTGAAACGCTGCAAAATCATAAATGCCAGCATCGAATGACGGTGGACGACGATGATGCTGAGGGCGAGTGGGTGAAATAGCTTCTTCATGACAAAGAAAACGCCACAAAAAACCAAATGGACGCCTGACGGTCTCGGTGCAGTGGCATATCGCCTCTCGTCACGAACGGCACCATACTGACTTTATCATTAGTTCATCGTGACTCTTACGTCATAGTAACGAGCGGCCACAGTTGGACGCACATACTACAAATACACAGTGGTACACTTTACTTTTCATTCTTAGCTTGCCACCTATTATAGACCACGACCGAATATAGCTGCTGCAAGTATGTGTTGTGTAAACAACCAAGCAACCTTCATTTGCATCGGGATATGTTATCCTCTTTTTATTGTATATTTCATGCTGGGGCTATACGTTGCACGTTAAAAGCGGGTCAAGAAGAAGAAGAACCATTTTACCGGAATTTCATATTATATAGTACAAAGATAACTTATATAGTACAGGCTTTCAACTTGTCATCGGTCAAGTTGAAAGCCAAAACCAGCTTTGTGGCATTAGCAATCATGGAGCATCAATGGCAGATGTGGTGACTCTTACATCATAAAAATGGTGATAGAACACATTTGTAGAGTTCTCACACACATTTCGTGAGAACAGCTATGTTGCGTCTATTTTGGTGCTTGAAACCTCTGCCTGTGAGTGGTGCAAACGTAAAAAGTTCTCTCAGGTGCACACCGACCAGGGGAAGTTTCTACTGGCCAAAAATGCTAAAATATATGAACTTCGACGAGAAGTTTGCAGGCATTCCTAAACAACTTCGTGTAGGCCAAGCTTGTCAAGGTAACAGCCCTTGAATAGGCGTGTGATAGAGGTATATCATGAAATGGCCTCAAAACCAACAAAACTGTACCACTGAATGAAAGGAACTGCCAGCAGAATAAGTTTCACCGTATGTGAGGGTGCATTGTGTTTGTTTTTTTTTCCTCCAATTGTGAAATAACAGCATGGCACAGTTTTAAAAGATCGTGTAGCACTGTGCACAGATGTGATTGGGTTTGTGCACATCGTTTTTTAAAGGTGGTATGATTTGATTTTCACTGAACTGAACTGTTCTATTCATTTTCTGGTACTTTGAATGCTTCAAATCGCAAAATTTCCGTGCAAATCAAATAAAATAGGCAGCAGTATTAAAAAAAATATTGTGATGATAGAATATTTTCACAGCCCTAGTGATAAGCTTTTCGACACTACATCAACACATTGATGTTGTGGCGGTTTACATGCCGTCACCTTAATAAGCTTTGTTCTGGCACTGTGAATCGACTATGTAGCCTGCTTGAACAACAAGTGGCGCTGAATAGCAATAAACTTAGTAAGAAAAAAAAAACTCATTGCAGCTTATGTAAGCATTGCTCCGAGATCACAGAAATTTGATGTAGCGATAAGAACAGTGCAACTGGGAATGTATCAGTGATGCAATTCATTACTGTACACGAAAACAGGTTCTCCAACTCCAGTTTAATTCATCTCTGCCTCCTTCATGTGTGGGAGGGTGCTCCTCTGTATGCGTGTGCGAGGCTCTGCAAGTGAGCGATTGAACTCTTGTATTTCATAAGAAAAATAACATTTTTCAAGGGCATGCTCGAATGTCTTTTGTTTGTTTCAGACATTGGCCAGCTGAAGCAAAGTGTAGAAGCCCTGGAGGAGTTCAGCCGACAGTTGTTTCTGGAGACGGTAGAGATACACAACATGATGGTGAGTGAAGTCCCCCTTGTGTAGCACATGGTTGATTGCTCAGTCTTAGGAACAATGCATTTTTTGTGGCACTGGCTTCTTAAAAGCTGTCACGCTAAAGGAGGGACAAAGTGCGTGCAGCACATTACGACACTCATGCGCTCGCTCAAACAGTCAAACCACAATACAATTCATAAAAGTCCTCTGAAAATCATTTGTTCTTGTGAAAAGCTGTTGTGAAAAAATAAGAAATTCGTGCTAAAATTGTAAATGCTACCTAATGCTTCAATTTCCTTTTCTGGCTATACATCCACGATCAGGTTATTCTTTAATAAACGCCAACAAAACAAACACAAAATGTTATCGAGCAAGTGCATGTTTATGAGAAGAAGAGCATAGTTTTTGCCTGAATGTTGCAGCTTATCTGCTACAAGACTAACTCTTCAAAATGTGCATCCTTTTTTGGTGTTGGAAACATCACCTTTAGGTACTGATTCATTGCGTTAGTTTGCATGAGCTGTTTCAGCGTCAACAAATATATTTGGTATAGGTCTTACTGATTGTCAGCTCAGCCGATGTGCATGCTTTGTCGTCTCGCTGCACATGGTGTTGAAATGTTTTTCAAGCACGCACATTTGTCAAGCATGTCTTCGGCGACTTCGTCCTATACGTCACTCATGATGTAAAATTTTTTCATGGTCGCTGCTTCCAGAGCTCATCGTGAATATAGATCTACTAAGCTAAGGGAGAGCAAAACTGCCACGCCACAAGCATGCGGAACAAAGGCATTGAGGCCTACAAGGCGTAGCGTGGTGAGGAAAACAAGTTCTGTTGCCGACCGATTTTCCGAACCTGGCGGGGGCCGCGAAATAATCCCGAAAATTGAACAGTCCAAATAATGGTCACGTCATAAAAATTAAGTTTATTTGGATTAGAAAAGCTCTTGAAAAATTCCTAATAATGCCATGCTTCATGCTGTTCTTGGGGACGAGCAAATTCGGTTCTATTGGGCCACGGTAACATTGTTGGAAAGCATGTTGGCAATCGCTGTTGGAGACCGTTGCTGGCAGCAAAACGGTGGCTCTATGGAACGAAGCAAACAAAACTTGATGCCTGTCTCAAAAATATGCGTGTAACTTCTCGCCTTTTTAGTGGAATTTAACAACATGGTATGGGCTTCTTTAACCTGCACTGACCGCACACAGTATGTGAGCCTGCAGCATTTTGCAACCATCAGAACGCTATCCGTGCGGCCGCAACAAAACCTGCGTGTCCTTGGTCAGTAGGCGAGCACCGTGACCACACGGAGTGCTGCTGAGCAATCGCGAACAGCAGCGAGCATGTGACGTGCACGACAACTGAAACACATTAACACGACCACGTGTGCAATGACGACCAGAAATTAAAAACAACCTACCGGCGTACTAACGATGATGATAGGGCAGACTGAAAAAGAATATTTTTGATGTTCTGCTCGCCAAAAAAGATTAGACATGGCCTCTAAAACTGGAAGATTGTGCATGCTTCCAATCTTGGAGGCCACACAACCAGCCACTGGAAGCCAAACTCGACCAAGCCCAACAGAAAATCCAACATGGTGGCTTTAGTCTGGAAAATCTAACTTTGGAACATAAATTCGTCTGAAAAATTGGTCGTGAAAGTGAATTAGTGCGAAGGAAACCTTGATGGTGCATTTTTGAAGTCCAAAGTATCTACCGTACTTGCTGAATTCTACCACGCCCTCGATTGTAACGCACACCCGGTTTTCACGACGGGAAAAAAAAAGTAAGATATCGATTGTAACGCGCACCCATTTTTCTCGACCTGCACGATCACACCACTCGAGAAAATTACTCCTTTCGGGAGCATCTTCCGTTTAAACATCAGGTACGAGGGAAGCTTGTGTCCATCTGACGCGCAACAGAGCATTGCCGTCACTCTAGTTTTTTTCGTGGCCCAATGTCAGCATGCGAACTTGCTTCGCCCCTTCTTCTCGACGGTTGTGGTGCCAGGCATGTTGAAGTAAAGAGGCGTTTTATCGGCATTCCCGATTTCCCCAAGTAGGTAGCCGTTGTTGTGCCGCAAGTTTAGGACGAACCTGTGAGAACTGTGAAGCTTTTCTTCAAACTCCTCCGGCAACTTTTGGCATATGCCTGTTTGCCTTCAGAGGGAAAAGCCTTTCCTCTTCATAAAGGTAGTTAGCCAGCACCGGCTCGCTTTGAACTGGCACCGCGTTAGCCCTTTTTCTAAGGCTAAGTGCATAGCCCGCGCTTGGAGCAGTTCTGTCGTCACGGTCTGCTGTGCCGCGCGCTGCTCAAGCACATACTCGGCGAGCAGCTCTTCGATTTGCAGAAACCCACCCTGCTGTGATCCACTGAAGCCTTTACGTCAAGCTCTGCTGTCGGCAATTTTCTGCTTTTCTTTCCACCAGTCCCACATGCACGTTTTGGGAACTTCTAAGGACCGCGATGCGGCCCGATTTCCGTTCGTTTCTGCACACGGGATTACTTTTCTTTCAAAAGCGGCATCGTAGTGCACTCGTCGAGTCTTTGGAGTCGGCACTTTCATGCCGTCAATGTTAATGCACTACTAGATGACGACCTCCTCAGCACACGTACGAAGTGCCGCACATGGGAAACACATTGGCAGAAATGGCCGATGTGCCACGCCACGGGGGAAGGAAAAGTAGGTGAGGCCCTGACGTCACTCGTTGTGAAGCTGTGATGAAGCCGGAAGTCGGCCATATCGACTGGGCAAATTCTCCTCTCTTGTTTACATCCGAATGTAAAGCAGAAGGCATGACTCTCTCTCCGGCTTGGAAAGCACATGAGCTGCACAGCGCCCGTGTCATGACAATCCGAAACTAATGGAACGGGGCTCAACACTCTGGGCCAGCGCGACACCTTCGGCAAAATCATTTTGTCCGAGTAATTACAGCTATTAACAGCTCGGTGCCAATGAAGCAAGTACACGAGAACGCACACTAGATGCACTGACAACGGCGAGTGTTTTCACGTCATTAATTCAGCAACTGTACAGACATCTCGATCGGTCGTGCACCTTCTTCCACGGTTGCATTCCGACACGAGGCCGACGCAGCGCCCGGCCACTGTGTACGTGTTTCGTGTTGTGTGAAACTCACCGGCGTCAGCGTTCTGCAACCGTGGTGACATTGAGCATGGTGCAAGTGACACTTGAACGCGATTGCTCTAACGTTGAAATTACATGCAATGCTAGGGGCGAGTATAACATGCGGGACACAAAAGGTGTTTTTTTATGCACATGCAAGTTGTTACTGTGCACACACAACACGAAACTACGTATGTGCTCATGGTCCTCATTGCGTCTTGCTGGGCTCAACAGCGTCGTCCGGTGTCTCAAGCAGGAGGACTGCCCAACCGTCACTAACCTACAAGGCATTCGTCGTCGATCGGCTTTGTCATGGTGCTGAACACTAATTGCTTCATCCGCGTCATTTTCTGCACGACACATGGATATACACTTGTTCTACGCACTGTTGAAACCCCGTGATGGACAAAAGGATTTGTAAACGTTGCTAAAAGTACAGTAACTGCCAGGAGAACACTGGGCAACCTATAACGCGGCGCAGAGCACGGATATTGTCCGCCACGGCTCAGCACGAGACCTGTGGAGGCACACATGCCGCCGTCAGCTGCGGCCGCTCACTGCTAGACCAGCTCCACTGCGCAAAACGTAACCATAGCAACGCCGATATTGTGCCCAGTGAATTTGGCCGCCATGATGTCATTTCCTCCACACTTTACACGTAGCGCGCCGGCTGGGCATGCCCTCTCCTATTTTTCCTTCCTCTGTGCGCCATGCCGGCGCACGTAGGGGGCGGCAATTTTTCAAATGCCGATGGCAATAGAATGACGGTATTCATTTCTTTTTTCGTACTCGATTCTAACGCGCATGCGATTTATGAACTCGCTTAACCGGGAAAAAGGTGCACGTCAGATTCGATTAAATATGGTAGCAACTCAGAATTTTCAGAGTCCGAAAAATCCATTGGCAACTGTATAGGCAACACTGAGGTCGACTGGCTGTCGCACATTTCGCATAGGACAAGCGCATAGAGAAATAAACGAATGTTTTGATGATGATAACAGTGTCATGGACAGAGCTGGGCATCGATTACACTGCCGTGAATAACATTTTTAATTTGCATTTCGTTATATTGAAGTGTTGTTGACATACAAGGGCGATAAAATTTGATATGTTATTCTGAGGCATTCGGCATTCTGAAGTTATAAATAGTTAAACACTAAACCAATGAGCATTTAAAGAGGGATTTTTGAAATGGTTATTACTCTGAACACAAAAAAAAATCTTTAACCTGTGGTTAACATTTTTTTTTCCAGGAAAGGATAGAGTGGTCCAAAACCTTCAAAGGGAAATACTTCAACTTTATCGGCTACTTCTTCTCATTGTACTGCATATGGAAGATATTTATAGTGAGTGGCTTCGTTATGATCCTATCATTTTTATTGTGACCTGGAATGAGCAGAAAAAATACTGTGCTTAAATTTCATCGCACTTCATGTACAATATTCACTAATTGAAATGTGGTGTTTGTTTCAGTATAAGGAATGCTATGAGCGGTTGCTAGCACTAAACATGTTAAGTCGCTGGAAATATGGCTGCTCAAAGTAACATCGGCTCTGATCAAAGTATTTGAGTCAAAGTTGTGCTGCTATGTACGACTCCAAACTACATACTGGGAATAAAAGTATGAACATTTACCACTCCTAATGTCTTGAGGGCATTCAAAATATACAAGCATTTAGTATGTGTTAGCTCCTACTTAAAAGGGTGGTACACACAGCATGTTTAAATTCTAAGTTGCAAGCATCGGAATTAGTGACTTTGTTTTCCTGCAATACGTGCATACACTTTCTAAACTTTAGGCAAGCAGTTACTGTAATGACTTTCCCCCAGTTACAGGAATACTGACATGTGACAGCAATGCTGTGCCTTTTCCAGTCAAGCTAGTTGACACCGATAAAACGCGCTGTTGGCTTTTTTTAGGTATTGTGTCTCTCTGTTAGCCTGTGTAATGCATACGAAATACGAATAACTCATTCAGCCAATCGCCAGCCACTGCAATTGATGTGCTCGAAAATGCGATCGACCCAGACTGTGCCTGTGCTTGCATTTTTCCTTGTTTCAGTGTTGGCACATCGATGTCTCTGATATCCAGTTGTCTTTTACATCAATGTCTCTTAAAAATGGTTTCAATAGTAGTAATTTTCTATCGCCTCAACTGCAGTTTCTGGCAGTGCATATAATCTTTAAAATACTTTGCAGTGCACTATCAACATTGTCTTCGATCGCGTCGGGAAGGTTGACCCCGTGACAAGGGGAATGCAGATTGCTGTCCATTACATGGGATTCGACGTTGATGTGAGTCACCTTTTCTACCTGGCTACTGTCTCGTGTTCACAGAGTTTGCTTGGTTGCAAGGATTTTTTCGCTGAGTTAGCGCAATCCACAACCAGTAGCATTCGTATGTGCTGCAGCTGAGTTGTGCCTGTACGGAGTGTGAAGCAGCGTGCTGATCTTGTATCTGCGCTAACCTCACCAAATATTGCGGAACATATTCTCCTGCAATATTGGCTGAATCAACGCTATTTGATCATTCAACGCTAGGTAGTAATAGTACCGCGCCACTCCGGGCAACGCCCAAGGTTTTGATTAAAAGTTGCAATGGAAGTAGTATAGGCACATCTGGGCACATCCCAAGGTTTTGGTGACAAGTCAAGGTTTGCAGAACAGGCATAAATAGTTTAACTTTTTCGGTGCGTTAAACCTGTTATTCCTTTGGCTTTATGCATGATGAACAGGCATTGGGAAGAAGGCTTTGCCATCACAGCAGCTAACAGTGTCACCCAAGTCTCAGGTTGAACCTAATTTATTTTTCTAATGTCAAAAATACTTGTGTTTACTGGCTGCTGTAAAATTGTATTATTTAAGCATTCTTATAGCATTTGAGTGTAAAAATAAAGCCTTCAGGCACCATACTTTGCATAAAAGACAGAATTTCAATTTAGCAAGTTTCCGTTAAGCTTAACTGCACTATGAAATAGGTTTCAAGGAAGCAGGCTTGGACTAGGCATACTAGAAAAAGTTGGAGAGCATTACCAGGTTTCGCTGCTACAAGATATTCACAGCTGTCAATTTTTCGGTCAGCCAATTTTCTAGGCATGTAGGAATGTCTGATTAGATTGAACATGCTGTTCATGGTGAAATCAATGTGAGGTACTGTATTTACTGTATTCTACGCGACCCCAATTCTTAACCGACCCCGAAAAGTCCGGAGCCGCGGGGGGGGGGGGTAGGTCGATCGAAACAGCAAAGATAGGGTTCACAAAAAGAAAACATTTGTTCAACAGGAAGATGAAACAAAGCAATTGGTTCATGATGCAAACTCGAGGAACATACAGTAGTCCCATTGTGCGCGTTTCTTCATTGTTGTTTTTTTTTTTTTGCGCTGCTTCTAGTTTTTTACATCATAAAAATAATAATAGTAACAACAACAACTTTATTTCAGCATCAACAGGAAGAAATGCAACCCTGGTGAGGCTACGAGGGCTAGCAAAAATCCTCTAACGGCTTTACAAAGGCCAGCACCCCGTTTACAAAACTGTAACAAGGCAAAAACAAGAGTGGACTATGAATTATGTGCTAATGAATTGTGTCATGCTCATTTCGAGTCATCACTGCTTCCCTCATAGCTGACTTCAAGCAGTGCGCGATCCTCGGTGCCATCAAGGACACTGGATATGCCGCTCATAAGGGGGCAAACTGGTCTTTGGGACCAAAAAGTGACAAAAAAATTCATTTTTAAAATTGATTGATTGATTGATTTGTGGGGTTTAACGTCCCAAAACCACCATTTGATTATGAGAGACGCCGTAGTGGAGGACTCCGGAAATTTTGACCACCTGGGGTTCTCTAACGTGCACCCAAATCTGATCATTTTTTTTTTTTAAGTTGACATATTAGGTTTCTGCAAGTATTTTTCTATATCTCTGCCAATTTAGACACGCCTAGAAGTGGTAATTTTTTCGTAATGTCATTCTAACTGTCCAGATTCTTGGTGCTGTTAACATGCTAACATGCAGAACCATCAAAAAAAAAGGGGAACCGACTGCAAGACTTCTTTATAATTTGCCGGGACATATGTTAGAAGCTCTGCAATGAATTTATGAGCACCTTTATGAGGATTGCGAAACGTGCACACTATGATTGTTGCTTTTTGAAGAAGCTGTGTGTTTTCAGTTTTTTTTTCTTTTTTTTTTCAAAAAAGTAAGTTTACAACTGTTAAATTTTGAGGCCTCAATATCTCTGCAGCTAGGGCAGGTACAACAATAATTCTTGTTGCAACGGAAACCTGTATGTGTGTAGAATGCAAGTATGGAAGCATAATTTAGAGTGCAAGCCTTCTAAATTAATTACTTATCAAAATTGTAATTCAATTCCAACTGCTTTTGAAATTGAATTGTTCATTTTGCTGTAAAATAACCAAGAAAGGCCCAAAAACGAAAAAAACTCTTGCATACTTTCAATCTATAGTCATTAGTCCATGTTGGCATATCTTAAATATCACTTTTTTTAAGCACTTTTTTTTTCTATGGCGGCCCTAAACAATAGGGGGTGAACTTAAGTTCTCTCAGGAACAAGATGAGTGACAGAAAAACTAATTAAATATTTGAAATCAGCAGAAAAAACTGCATAATCCTGTGCAGTTTGGTGAAGATCACTAAAAAAATGAAAAAAAAATGTCTAAGACCAGTCTGCCCCCTTAAAGAGAGCGCACAGTCAAATTTCTCCGATTGTCGTCCCATGCTGCAGCCCCTCCAGCTATGCACATTTTTTTTCATCCACTCCAAAGTCTTGCCCGGCTTGAACGCCGGACGACTCCGTGGCTAGGAACTCTTTTCTTTTATAAGCAACACTATAATGGCACCGCCTGTATAGTGCCATTGAGCTACGCCACACAGAGACCATTCGAAGCGTGACTCGACATGACAAACGGCTAGCCTCAACACCCGCCATCAAGATCAAAATGGAGGCCTCACATGTGCTCCTAAAATAACTAGAGGGGACTCTGGCGCTGCAATCGTTCAGCAACCACGGGAATCATTCCTCCGTGATGGGAATCTGATGGGTAGCACACAGATTTGACTAGTCTTCGTATTTGTGGGTCTTGAATTGCACTTGTGGCTTCGTTTATTGCTGTCTTTTGGTTTTGTTTTGAAGGAAAGAACAAATCTTTTTGAACTTCGTGCCCCGACTTGAAATGGTAAGCCTAAAAGATTAAGGTAGCCAAGTGTAGTTGCTGAACGATTGCTGATTTTTCTTTTATAACGAAGCAGCTCCAAGCCATGCAAAGCCAAACGGTGCTGTAAGTAAGAAAATTAGACAAATCCGTGTACTACCCATCATTCTCATGCTCGCTGAAGCGCCGTGCGTGGCAGCTCCCATAGACACTAGGGTCATAGTTCCCTCTAGTGTACTTTATAGGAGACTATGCGTGTGTGTACTTAAAAGCCAGAGTTATTCAATCATACCGGTTGCGACACTGTGTTTTGAAACCCAGACACGCAGTTGGCCCGATTTTCAGAAGTTAGCTGACTGTGATGCCACCTGGGAGAGGCAACACAAAGCATAAATACTAATGTGTTTAATAGTGGGCGTGCTGACCTACACGTGGTGCGACAATCTGCTCACTCCCAACATCTGGGCCAATGATGTGTCCAGATTTCAACACATGGATCTTATGGGGAGTTTTGCAATTCATATGATTGAATAAACTGTACTTAAGCCAGGTGTTGGGTTGGCTACTAACTGCTATAATACCGTCTAGATGGCACTAGTTGTGCACCACCTTTTTTAATGAAAATTGGCGGGTTTTTCAAAATCCTCGAACCCTAAGCCAACCCTGAAGTTTGATGCAAAGAAATTTGAAAAAAAAAGCAAAAAACTATCGACCTAAATTTGAAAAATACGGTACAACAATTATTCTTGAGTGTTAACCTGTACATGATACATGATAAATACAGATGCACCTCCCCATCATAAGTAGTTGCAGTAAATGACTGTGCTTGCGGCAGTTATGATATTAGTGTTGCATGTTTTTGTTTTTTTTTGGCTGCAAGCTCTCCCAATATTGAGTACCTAGCTCATGCTTTTTGTAGCATTTATTTTTTTCGATATTGTGTTTCTCTAATATGTGACGATACAATGTTATTTTGCCCATAGGTGAAGTTTTGGTCGCAGCATATATCTTTTATTCTGGTTGGCATCATCGTCATCACTTCTATACGGGGCCTCTTGATAACGCTCACTAAGGTAAGCTGCAGCTGTTGTATATCTCAATGGTCACTGTTGCGTGTGTGCCATTTGGAATCTTACTGCTTGTTTTTAAATCATACTACCATAGAAAATGTCATTTCTACAGTTGAAAGTTACAGCTTGGTGCTTGAAGGGAGAGGGGAAACGGAAAATGATGGACTTCATTTTTTGTTAGACACAGCCACCCAGAGCCAAAAAAACTGGAAAGGAAATTACGTGCTAGTTTTATTAAAACTTAAAGTGATTAATTACGTACACCGGTGAGAGCTAAAAATCTCATCTCCTGCACTGCACATTCGATGGCCACTTTGGCCATTTTCAGATCCCCTTCTTTTTTGGTGCATGGTGAGTGGGCGTTATTCTTATATTCTTCCAAGTTTTCTCGCCGAGAGTGCTAGCCACTGACATTCATGGCCCGAGAGAAACAGGTGCATTCATTATTTTTGGTGTCTGTTCAGTAATTATACATATATATATATATATATATAGTCTTGCAAATTCCACGTTTTTAAGTAGTAAAGTCAACCTAGATGTAGAACACAATGAAAAAGGTTATAAAGAAGGTCAACTCATGGTGCGTAGTCTGGCTCAAGAGGCTACAACAGTCCACCAGCTATGTGTGCATGTTTGCACGCATGTCAGTACTCACAGATTGAAGTAGGACAATTTAGGGCTAAGTAATGCACATACTTTCATTTTCACCATCTTTACTTTGGATCATGTCGGTGTAGTTTTGACTTGAACGTGTATATTAGTGCCAACATCATCTATACAGGCAAGATTATTCACGACATGACGTGGTTATCTTGAGCAGTTGTGCATGGTAGTCGCTACACTAAAAAAATTCATGTTGCATTCGAGTCCTGTACGTATTATGCTTACAATGGCACAATAAGAATTCGGTGGGAGATGAGGCACTTGAACGATCCGAACCTTTCGTCCTCATTCCTGTCTACATCATTGCTGCCTGGGTAATTCGATTTTTGAAAGGTATACCAAATTATCACGTGCATAATTTGAATAAAAAATTGTTTAAAAATTCTATGAGAAGGTCATAAAGGGGAAATTTTATGCACGTTGATTTTTTTCTTTTTGTTGGGTTAAAGTTAAAGGGTGCGAGTTATATGTAAAAAGTAACGGTACGTCATTGGATACATCTCCGGTATTGCGCTTCTCTGCATAATAAGTGAGCCTATTATTAGAGGGGTTCTTGTTTCTTGCTTCTGCCCTGTCATTAATTGTAGATTTTCCCGCTTGGTGGGTGACTCGTGCGCATTGCTATGTGAATAATCCTTTTTTCTCATATTACTCTATCTGCAGTTTTTCTATGCAATTTCAAGCAGCAAGTCCTCCAACATAATTGTCTTGGCTCTTGCTCAAGTCATGGTGAGTTTTTGTCTAAATATTCTGCCATCGGGGTAGTTTTTGTATCAATAGCTTAAATGACAGGTGCGGAACTTCGTTATTGCTCTAAATTCATTTCGATCACCTGGAATTCGGTAACGTGCACCCGCAGTACAGTAACTAAGCGTGTCAGCATTTCACTCCATCATAAAGCTACGACTGCGGTCATAAACGCAATGCAATAAGCCATGCTCATATGTGAAATGCCATAGCCATGTAGCCTTAGATTCACTGCTGCTTGTGTGTATACAGTGAAAGCTCGTTAGCTTCAACTCGCTGAATTTTAATTTACAGTTAGTTCAAACTGACGCCGTAATCCAGGAACAGCCCTGTGTATTTCTATGGCAAAAAACTCCCGATAGTTCAAACACTCAGTAAGCACAGTGGTTTATTCGAATAGAGAGTCCCTAGTTTTCCTTGCTCCTCACAGAAGTCTGCCACGAGTGATCTTTTTTTGTTGTTTTTTTCGTGCCTTATTTATTTATGTATTTTTTTTTACACGACAAGTACTGTCTTGTTGTTCTGCAGTTGGTTTCCGCATGCCAGTGCTTGAGGAGTGCGTATGCGGTTTGAATTTTGATCTTCTGAAATGCTCCTTGCTTTCTTTTTTTTTCTTGTCCTTGTGACACGATTTCTGTTCTTGATTTGTTCACTTCATTTTGTACTTGCTTATCCTGCTCCTGCTGACAGTCTTAGCTGGAGGCTAGCAGTATTAAATGAATAAATGAATAAATAAGTGACATTGTGTTGCAAAACCATACCATCAAAAATTTACTATATACTGTATTTACTCGCATAATAGGCACACTTTTTTTTCAGAAAATCCGGCTCGAAGTTAGGGGTGCGCCAATTACGCGGGGTAAAATTTTTGCAAATTTTTTCAACTCGGTTCTCGCGCTTTAAATCTGCACACTTGTCAAGTAAAAGGCGACTTTGTCGTTTACCAATTAATTCATCATAAAACAAACATACCTACGTACCTTTTAATGAACAAGCGAGAGCCGTCAACTGCACACACACACGTAAAATTTATTTACACAAAAGTCGTAGCTGTTCCTCCTTTTTCCTTTTCGGAGTCCGAGTCGGAGATCACACATTCATCCTCGCCGAGCGGGGATTCGTTTTCGGTGTCCGAATCATCCGCACCCCACAACATGTCATCCTCACTCGCATCCAGTGCGTTCGAGATACCCATCTTCTTGAAGCTTTTCCTGACGACTTCGTCGGAGATCGCCTGCCACGCTTCCACGATCTAAGCGCACAGCATTTCCACAGGCGGCCTCTTAATCTTACCACCCGTAGTCAGCTGATGTTGTCCTCCAGCCATCCAGGTGGTGTACAGCCTTCGAACATTGTCCTTGAAAGGTTTATTCAAGGACACGTCCAAAGGCTGCAGTATCGATGTGAGGCCGCCCGGAATCACTGCCAGATCTGTGCGCAGCTCCTTTAGCTCATCTCGTACGCGGTCTACTAGGTGCCCACGAATACTGTCCAGGACAAGCATGGACGGCAACAACAGACCACCCGGCCGCCGACCCCAGACTGTTTTCACCCAATCCACCATGAGTTCCGCGCTCATCCAGCCTTTTTCCTGGACTCTGGCGTAGATGCCTTGAGGGAATTTTGCCTTTGGGAGCGTCTTACGTTTAAAAATAACGTAAGGCGGTAGCTTACGCCCATCCGCTGTCACCGCCAGCATTACGGTGCATCGTTGTTTATCAGCGCCAGACGTTCTGACGATGACGCTCCGTGCACCTTTCTCCTCCACTGTCGTGTTCCACGGCATATCAAAGCAAAGGGGGGTCTGATCAGCGTTGCCGATCTGGGACAAAATGAAGTCTTTCTGCTGTCGGAGCTTTATAACAAAACTGTGGAAGTCCACCACTTTGTCCTCATATGCTGCGGGCAAGCGCTGGCACAAGGTGGTCCACCTTCGCAGTGCGAGGCCATGGCGCCGCATGAAACGAGTTGTTCATCCGGAGCTGGCTTTGAACTCTTTTGCTTCGATGCCCTGCGCTCGGGCTATTCTGCGCGCCTCAGTCTGCACAATATCCAACGACACAGCACAGCCGTCTTCTCGTAGCTCCCGTATATGCCGGACCAGTTGCTCTTCGACGTTCGGATACCTGCCGGTCTTGGCACCGCGGAAAGCCGGTCGTGTCTTCTTCGTCGCCTAAAGTTTTTCTTCTTGGTCCCTCCAGTACCGAATACTGGTTTCTCCAACGCCGAAATGCCTGCTTGCAGCCCGGTTGCCGTGCTCCAGCGCGTACTGCACTGTTTTCAGTTTAAACCCAGCCGTGTAGCTCGCGTACTTCCCCATGGTGGAACCAAAGTTTAATACAAGACCACAACATACGCACACCGCTTGCAAAATGACGTTTCTTTCTTTTTCTCTGATGGTGGTGATGGCGATCGAGTTCCCGGCGTTGTACACGTGACCTCCAAAAAGCGCGGCGATTTGGGGGGTATCAGTAATTGATGGAACAGCCGTTCTTTTTTTTTTTCGCTCATGGACGCTTTTTTTTTTTTTTTCAAGTTTTATTTCGACAAACACGTTGGTTAGGTCATTGCACTTCGAATTTTTTTTATTTGCTCGTCGATTTGCCTTCTTTTTTTCTTCAGGGTACGGGGACCGCGTTCCAACTGTACCGCTGGGGGGTAGAATCGTTTCTGATCACGGCCAAGTTCGGGGTGCACCTATTATGCGCGGAATTAAAAAAAATCGAATTTTCCGCGACCAAACTAGGGGTGCGCCTATTATGCGGGTGCGCTGATTATGCAAGTAAATACGGTATATGTGACACAACGACACTTCAGCATTTCTCAGCAGATGAGAATTCAGACACTGCGCTGGTGGGGCTCTTGGGCGAACTAAGAATGATGCTCAGGGAGTCGCGATGGAAGAAACACAAGCAAATGCAAACTACTGATTACTTTTAATTTTGCAATGTATTAGCTCAACTACGTAAATACAGTAGACTCTCAGTAAACCTCTCAGAACCTGAAGGGACCGGGAAAATGTGTTCCATTTAACAGGAATTCCGTTTACCAGATTTCCGTTTACTGAGAGTCTATTGTAAGTGTGTTTTAAATTTGGGCTCATTACTCACACAAATGCATTTTTTTTTTGGTGCTTGTTTCTGGTATATCGCTGACTGATCTAAAGATTCGGTTCACTATTTGAACTGCATGAACTCAATTTATGAAATCACCTGCCACAAACGTGTACTAGCCCCTAGTTTGCAATATCGTGTGTCGAGGAGGCTATTTAGGTTCTGCCTGCACAGTGTGGTGTGATCTTTGTTATAGCACCTGTCTGCGAATTCAAACAATCTATAGTCTCCTCAGAGTTCGAAATAACAAGCTTTTACTGCATATGTATTGTGGATTGCATTAGAAAGTAATCTTTTAGTTTAGTTCAGTTTTCACCATTTAGAACTATTGACAGAATATAGTAGAATCAACATCCCCTAGGCTGAAAAGGCAATTTGTACATCTCCTCCTTTTATTGTACCGCTTTTCCTTTTGCCTAAACATATTGAGTAAGCCAGAAGAGCTTCTAGAACTTGGTAACATTCATTTTTCTTTTTGTTTCTTTTCTTGCAGGGAATGTACTTTGTTTCATCAGTGCTGTTGATAAGAATGAATATGCCTGCAGAATATAGGTGACACCACAAACTACTATTTATGATGTCTCTTTTTGCATGCTTTGCCCTTGCTATGTCTTGCCTGTTTATATTACACCTAATCTAGTATTTTTTTTGCATTGCATTATCAACTTTATGCATTGTGAAACTGTTTTCTTACTTTCTATTGACTGTACTTCCCTTTACATGCCTTCTTACTTAATGATGTTAGTGAGTTAAGTTGTATAATTATTAATCAAACAATGTTGTCTTCTCTGTGAAACTTGGTATGCAGATAATGTTAATTAACAAGCTACTTTACCCACTGAAAGAGCATTAAAAAAGTTAATATATGATGTACCCTGTGTCAATACGGACTATATGGGCATTGCTAGCTATTGCCTACTCACCATTAGTACAGTTAAACTTGGATATAACAAAATTGACAGAGTTCGTCACAAACAGGTTTTTGTTATTTGCAAAAATTCAAAAAAAGAAATACGCAAATTTAACGTAGGGTGAACTGAAGACATTTTTCTAGTGGTAAAAAACTGCGTTAGTATTACGACAGCAGTTGTATAGACACTCTTGATGAGTTTTTGTCGTCATGTTCTATATAAAGTTCAAATTAACAACATCCCTCATGCGTTGTAAGTTCTACTCATCATGTAAAAGAGTGCATGAGCGGAAGTGACGAGGGATGCTGAAGTTTAGATCTGATAAACCAGCCCATCTCTGTTGCTGGTAGGGTGCACATGAAAACATCCCCTTGCCGGTTAAACCTGCCATCGAATGCTCAAGCAAAAAAGAAACACCCCGTTTGTCTTGAATGAGCATAACAAGGGTTTGAGCAGGAACCGTGAACTTTGGTTCTAAGTGTGCTGTCGCTATAGCTGGTGCACGCACTATCTCTGCAAGCATCAGTGTACATCTCGTATACCAATCTACGTGCTTATCTCTCAACGCAAAGAGACTGCCAAAAAAGCATTTCTCCCTGGAGCAGCCATTTTCTCTTCAAACAGCATTTTGTAAAAGCACAAATGTTAAATCCAAGAAGTTAGCGGGCAGCCTTACTTCGTATAACATCACAATTTGTTGCTGTCGCATTCATTACTTCGTCTCTGTGGTGAAACTTTGATTTTTTTTCTCTCCAACTATCATTCGTAGGACATCAATACAATGCTGCTCACATCTTCTAGTCGTGGCTTCTGAGATTGGCTCTGGCAATGTGCCCTCGCATTGTTGGCGCCAGTTGCAAAAGCCATAGTCTAGTGAACCCGTGGCTGGGCGGAAGACTTGTTAAGTCCATAATGATGCGACATCCAAAGATCCATTGTTGTCACTGTGGTCTTGGACAACTTTCTCGCAAACAACCACGCGCACTATTGAGCGCTCGCTGTGACCTTGCAGTCTGCGAGGATCTGAGCATGCTGTGCATGACGCTGCTGCTTCGAGCTTTGTCCACGGCAGACCAACCGCAAAAGATGCATGCTTGTGCCAAAATGACAAAATTCAAGGCAAAATTCTTAGTTTGACAGCGGCAGAAATTCGTTATATCAAGGGTGTTTCCCACTGCCACCTCATTACATGAGGTCCCAAATACATGTGCTTCTATGGAGTAATTATGGGGAATAGAAAAACTTTCTAATAATGAGGAATTAATTATGGGTGTGTTTGTTATAAGCAGGTTTAACTGTAGTACTGAAATAACAAAATGCCAAAATTATTTTGTAGTTATAGAGAAGATTAACGTAGAAGAAAACTACCAGGATGCAAGCATATTTCAGGAGGTTTTGTACTACGTAGCATCACTGCGGTCATTGGGAGATGAACTGTATAAAACAGAATGAAATCAACAGCGCAAATGTGTGTACATAAATCTAGACTAAATAAAGCCGTTTTAAGAATTAGCATAGTATTTTTAAATGCAGCATTGGACAAGTGCTGTAAAACAGTGCTAAATCACTCTGAACGGTATTTCTGACTACTCCAAGCTTGAATGAAAAAGTCTTTTTGGCTGCTCCAAGCCTGCTCCAAAACGTGTCTCGGTGCTACAGAAGGAACTTTCAGCTGCTCTCGAACAAGTCTTCTTTGTTTCCCCTCTGTAGTGTAGCTGCTGAAAAACTGACAGGTTGAGGTGCGATGCAAGGGCAAAAGCTGGACATTTCCCACATAAGCAAAACACGCCTTCTGTCATGAGTACTTCTTTTCTAGATATTGTTGTTCATGCTAGTAACTGCACTAGTTGAGTCCTGCTTGCTGGAGTAATATTACAGTAAAAAAAAGAGGTTCTTTGTAATGATGCCTTGTCATTCTCAATTTCCAGGTCTATCATCACAGAAGTACTGGGCGAGCTACAGTTCAACTTCTACCACCGGTGGTTTGATGTAATATTTCTTGTCAGTGCGCTCACGAGCATCGGCTTTCTTTATTTGGCCCACAAGCAGGGCCCTGAACGTGACACTGTGCAGTAACTCGGCTGCTTGATGATTGACAACACTTGTTTCACATGGGCATACTAGGTGATGTACTATTTTTGTCAGTGTACAATTATTGCGGTGTGATATTTTTTGTACTGAACACATTGTTATTTTACATGATACCAACTTCTTTTAAATGCGAAGCAGCTCTTTGACTAGCCTGTGTAGCGCTGTCACTCCGCACCAAGGTGGTGCCAAGTAGACCACGTCTTCCTTCGCAGTGCGTGCGCGTGACCTCACTCGCCACCACTTGCAACACTCGAGCCCACTCCTCACGTCGGCACCATCTCTTTAACCGCACCACCTCTCTTCATCTGTTGGTGAGAAGAATCCACAGGTAGACGCGATCACACGCCGTCGTCTAGGCCCGTTGTGGTCCTGCGGCGCTGGCAATGTGGACAGCGCGCCGCTGCTTGCCGAATGATCACGCTGACGGACGGGACGCCACCGGGGTATGCTTACCGCTGGTGTGCACGTACTTTTCCCGGCCTTCGCCGGTGTTGCGGGTTAGTGAATCCGATTATGTTCGCGAGTGGCGAGGTTGTGTCTGGAACACCGGCGTGGCGCGAGCCAGGGCAGCCGAACGCAAGTGTCGGCAGTAGAAGACCAATGACAGCGACGAGATGCGAGTCAAGAGCGCCGATCGCGTTCAAGAATAGAGGCGGCGCACAAGTAACATCGACGAGACACAAGTTGAGAAGGCCAAGCACAAGCGTATTCAACAGGTTCCTCCTCCTGTGTCTTTGCGTTTCAAACAAATGTTTACTCCAGTAAACACTACACTCAGTTTCGCTTTAAACCATTTTTCCAGCACCTGCGTCGATGCCCGTTTCAACCGGGTCAACGTCGTGCGCACCGTTGCTGCTTCGCATCCCATCAGGGTTCCCTTCAGCGAGATGGTCCATAGCTTTTTTTTTTCTGTCGTTTAAAGTTGCCAGGCAGGCTTGCTGGTCCGGCACAGTTGGACAACAATGGTAGTGCAAACAAACGGGAAACAGGAAGGCAACAGAAGCACACAAATAGCGCTACACTTCGACAAAATGTTTTATTATCGAGCACCACATGATCCTCATACACTTCTTTGCACACAGTTGCAACTAACACATGGAGGAGCACAAACAATAGTTCATCAGCAATTTTTGAACCACAAACACACCAGACAAGGAAGAATAAAATTCGTTCATTTCACCCTTCAACTCGTGCACATGTATTGAAACTCCTCTTTTGAGAGCACAATAGATGGGCTGCTCACGCAATACCAGCTATGTATATCTATCTATTCAGTCTTCAAAAGGTGTTACTTCGCACTCACCCCTACTTAATATGGCGATATCTTTAAATTGTGGATTGCATTTGCATTTCCTGCAATGCAGAGACAGGGGTCCATCTGGCGGTATCTAGTTCACTTCGTTCTTATGCTCAAGCAGGCTGTCGTTTACCTATGTTCACGCCTACCACAAAGTAGAGCTACGTGTGCATATTGCCTTCTAGTGTCCTGTTTATTTGCACGACCATAGTTATACAAATGTGCTTTGTGTGTTCGGTGAGTCTTGTGACTCATGACAAGCTGGTTAGTCTTAAGTTTGGGTCACCATCACCAATTGTAGCATGGTCATCTAAAAAACATGGACTATATTGTGTGCTTGACCAGAAAGCAAACGATTTTCTATTGTGCACAGCAATGAAGAGCTGCTAACAAGGGGTGGTAATGGCCATATTCGATGCATAAATTTTCATTCTATAAATTTTGACACTGCAGGTTTTACTTGTCTTTTTTTCAACCACCACTATAGAAGCCATGCTACAATATTTTTTTATAGCATTGAACGTTCATTTTAGTTGGATGTACACAGTTTCCTTCTTTAATATAATAAAAACTGTGTTTGTATAGGATTCAAGAATGTGGTAAAATTTTGCTGGTACTGCCGAATCGACAAATAAAGCAGCTGATATTTCAGCAGTTCCTTCAACATCAAATTAATGGTGGCCGACTGTAGTACTCATATTCACTATAACCAGGACACCCCTGTGCCACTGAATTCCTTAAACGATACAAAGAATTTTGAAATTGCATCCATGTTAGTCGATTACACTTTAGTAAATTACACTTTCTTTGCATCATCCTACCGATTTGGCTTTCGTAGAGTATGACAGAGAAAAGTACTTTGATTTACGTAGTCTGGGATAACTAATTTAAATGAAATGGAAAGCTTTTTTCCATGTTTTTTCGTAACTGGCTGTACGTAAGCACCGGTACGCGTATTCGGAACTGTAATATGGCCATATGGCCATGCTGTGGTGGTGACCGAAACACACACCATATGCTGGTCAAACAATACTCCTATTTAGTAAGGTGTGATGATCAATGAATATCCAAATTTTGCATGATTTATAATCAACCATTGCTGCTGGCTAAAGTGGAAGCAAGACAATCTGTGATAATAGGAACTGAAAATACTGTCAGATTTTTTGACCCAATGTTGCCAAGAAGGTGGCTGCAATGTGTACGTTTTTGCACCGAGTTTGGCACCCATTACATTTCTGTGCTCACAATGCGCTACAGTAGCGTTATCAATGTGCACAGATCTTGAAAGCTTTCAATGTGCACAGATCTCTCTCCGCCAGCTTTGTGAAAGACGATGTTTTGAGCACTAACCTCGCAACTATAAATGACAATCATGTTCCCTTGACATGGACAGATCCTTCTATGGCTCGGAAGTTTCTATCTTCCAACCACAGAGCCATGCAGAAACAGAAAATGTTATACTTTGTACACTCTGGCTGGTGATTTGTGTCACTTTTAAACTTGTAACTGTGATCTCACTTGGGACGATTATAGTGTTCATTAGCAAAGCCATCATGTAAAACATGCCGTTGCAAGGCAGAATCTGAATGAAACTATTTAAAATACACTTAATGTGGTTTACTACTGCTCTAACTAAACAAAGCATGCTGGTTTTTAACAGTCATGATCAAGTTACCAGCCAGAAGTAGAATCGTTGCAGTAATCTGGAGCTGAAAAGTAATCCAGTTACAGTTGCAACTATCAGTAAGCTTCTACAGTTACTACCAGTCCAGTATACATATGTTTTTAAGGCTTGTGTGAATAGTGAATTTTAGGTTTGAAGTGAGTTCAAAGTGAATAGTGATTTTGACCGAATAATTTTGAATCGAATTTGAATGGTTTAAATCACATTTTATATAAAAAATTGGTCATATTTGTCATGAGCTAACCAACGTGTACAACAATTTTTAAAAATAGAAATAACGCATGTGCTAATGCCATTTTTTTTTTTGGTCCGCAGGAAATGGAAACAACATTGCATAGTAGCAAGATTTGACTTTCATTAGATTGCAATGCAAGTGATAACCTGTAAAATATGCTACATTTTAAAATTCACCATACTTAAAGCATACAAACAAGCATAACAATCTTCTAAACTTCAAAAATGACGAATTGATTTAAGGGCAATATGTTTAGTTAATCTTGAAGTGGGGCTTCACAGCAGGGTAAATTTTCTTTGGATGAGTGGTATCACAGCTTAGCACTGCAGCAAAACCATTTTTATCGGGGGTTTACGTGCAAACTAATATACATTTGAATAAATGCTGTCACGGCTTGGAACCCCTCCACTGCAGTGAAACCATCTTTGTAAGGGATTGCTTGCGGGCTAGCATACACCTATTTTTTCATTTCGAATACTTCAATAATTTAAGTTTAATTGAGGTGAATTTGAACACTGTAATATTCATTCGAATATTCGAAGCATTCGAATACTCGGACAAGCCTAGTGTGTGTCCTATTATAAGAACACACACATTGCAGTGATTAAAATATGTTGTAACAAAACCATTCTATTTTTTTTCGGTTCTGGCTCATATTGGCAAAGCTTTATTGCATTTCTATGGTAAATAACGCAAATGAGTGTGATCCACCTCAGTTTTGCTTGATTTTTCTTTCATCAATAAAACAATATTATACAAAGTAACTGGTTACTGGTAATGCAGTATTAATTGCTAGTTTGTGCTCAATATCGGTGTTAATTAGTGTGGTTTGTATGTCAGGTGCCTGCTTCAGAATTTATTTACCCACTTGTGAGTAAAGTGGGTCCTTAAATTTCATAATACTATATCTCTGTTATTCTAGATAGATGTTCACGCCTGGCTGAGCAGTGCTTATAAAACAGTGTCAAGTCCTGGCACACACTGATCAGCCATACTGCCATGATAATACTGACAGGATCGAAGGCTGAGGCTGCGAAATTTTCGCTGAAGAGAAGACTCCAGAGCCTGCGATGATAAAACACCGCTCATATTGTGTTCTAATAAACTATTCATCTATATTTTCATATTCACTCAGGCTCAAAGTAGGCCATGTCAGACGTGCCTGTTAGGGATCTGGAAAACTGAACGGGTGCACGTATTAGAGATAAGTCATTAGAGCATAATGCCAGTAGTTTATGCAGGGTTGAGTGCATGAGTTAACTGTTATGTAATAATAATGGCTTCCAGGTTCGAATGGCCCTGTGGTTAAGATTTTATGAAGTTTGAAATAGCCAAACTTTTTATTTTAATAGCATGCAGTCATTTTAATAACAACTTACTAATGTCTGTGGCAAATGTTTCAAGGCAGCACGAGCAGCTACAAGCGAGAAAAAAACATATGCTGCTCCCGAAGCTGTGCCACTTCCAATTCAATGGCACTATAATCGCATTGAATGATATGGGTGGGAGGAACTAGAAATAATAATGATAAATCTCTTAACACTTACTTTCGCTGATGCAACACATGCTGATTAGGAATTATTTTTTAAATTGTGCGTTGACTTTTATGAATAATAAGTCTTCAGCCGACTGCTTGATCTCACATTGTCAATGATGTGAACATGTATTTGTTTTTTGTGATTACTGTATGCCTATGGAATAGAGCCTGTCATCCACACACTCTGCAATGTATGGCTAGTCATCTTTTCAGTGTTGAACCACTAATTCTTTTATTTGTGTTCAGCAAGGACAATTCACTTCTGGTTTAACTCATGAAAAAAAGTTAGGGGACTCATTCATTTGAATTTTGTTATTTGATTACTTAAGATGAAAATAAATTAAAGGAAAGATATCGTAAATGTCGTGACTGTAGATGGAGTGCACAGAGGAGTGAAATACAACTGTTTAATACACTGCAAGTAGTAAGCACACAGGCTCGCGCGGCTACATTATCTCAACGACAAGGAACCTGGTCTCTCGCTCACAGTCCCGCCTATTGATGTCCACATGACGCCGTACACTTGGCGCCCTCTCGTAGCACCCACGACACCTCTTGTTGTTTGAAGTAGCCCTCCTGCTCGTCACAGGTTGAGCCTACTTGGTGCTTTAGCCGTTCGCCCACTTCTTGTCGCCGCTGGTTGTAGAGGCTGCAGATGCTTGCTAGTACGTCTCGTGAGACCTTCACCAACTGTGCTCGGGATGTGTGAGGCGTGTGAGCCAGCCCGATGACAGTCCCTGTTGTTGGAGTACCTGACAGAATGCGGACAGCTGTGTGCGGTTGAATGGGATCTCTTGCCAAGGTCCTCTGTCTCCGGTTATACTGCTGGCCCTGTTTGACCTAGTAGGCTTTGTTTAGTTTCCTAAATTCTACCGTGCTCCACCGTGGCTTCAGCCTGTGTGGTGCCACGGGCACGTTGATTCGTAGGCGTCTGCTCATGAGGAGTTCCGCTGGTATAAATCCTTCTTTTCCTGGAGTGTGTCTGTGCGCAAGCAGAGCCTTGTAGATGTTTGGCGTTTTCATGACCAGCTGTTTAGCGGTCTGAACTGTTCTTTCTGCTACGCCGTTACTCTGAGAGAAGGCTGCTGGTTATGTGATTTGATCTCCACTGAGTTCGTCCAGGTGGCTTGATGATAACAATGGCACCAGTGGCTTGTGATCAGTTTCCATATCAAACTGGAGACCAAGCAGATAGGAGTGGAAACACTCGCAGGCCCATAATACTGCCAGTGCTTCTTTTTTTCAACACGGAGATGCACATATCGCGTCTCCGTGTTGGAGAGGGACCTTGAGGCATAGGCAACTGGAAATCTCCAACCATCTGTCTCTTGAAGAAGAACTGCTCCGAGACCGTACGACGATGCATTCGCCGACACAGTGTGATGACTACAGGGGTCATGGTGAGTGAGCACAGGAATTGCAGTGAAAGCTTTCTTGACAGCGTTGAAGCTTACTTGCTAAGGCTTGTCCTAGCACCATTCGGCGTGTCTGTGAAGCAGGTCACGTAATGGTTTTGTTAGCTGCGAGAACCCAGGGAGAAACTTGGCCAAGTGGTTGGCCGTTCCCAACAAGCACCTCACTTCTGTTACATCTGTCGGCTCGGCTAGGTGACACAGTGCGTTGACCTTTACAGGGTTGGCACTCATACCGTTAGCTGACACGATGTGTCCCAGAAACCTTGCTGACTGCTGGTGTAGCACACATTTTTCTGCATTCAAGGTCATGCCAGCTTCTTTCTGGCACTGCAATACTTGTGCAGTCTTGGGTCATGTTCTTTCCTTGGGGAGCCAAACACTATAATGTCATCCTGTAGACGCGCTTGGCCCTCAAGGCCTTCTAGAACTCTTAGCACTTCTCTCTGGAAAAACTCAGGTGCTGCCAAAATTCTGTAGGACAAACGGAGAAACTGAAACCAGCCGAATGGCATCAGGAAAGTAGTGTACTTCTGAGATTCTGGTGCTAGCAGAACTTGCCAATAACCAGCTCTTGCATCGAACTTGTTGAGCCATGTAGCTCCAGCCAGTCTGGCCAAACATTCGTCGACGGTGGGCATTACGACTCGTTCCCACAGGATGTTCTCGTTCAACCCTCCAAAGTTGACGCAGATTCGAAGCTCACCTCCTCCCTTTTTGTGGACTATCATAGGTACGCACCACTCTATGGCCTCGTCGACCTTTCTGATGACACAAAGTCTTCCTTCTCTCTAACTGGCGCTTGATGCTGGGCAGCATGGGCATGGGTACTCGCCATGGATGCGTAATAGCATTGGGCTTGGCGTTGCGAGTAATGTTATGTGTACGCTGTTTTGAGAAAGCTCAGGCCTGTTGTCAAGTTGGGGTATTGGCCAAGAATCAAAGAAGCTGGATCACTGACCTTGCCTGTTGGCACTGTTACCTCGAGGAGGCTTGGAAGGATATACAATGTTTTGATTGCTGGCCGTCTGAGAATCTGAGAAGTGCGTCGTGTAACTTGTCAATCATGTAAATATCTTCCTGGCACACAAGGCCATTCCAGCACAGGGTTGCCCTAAACAGTCCTGCAGTTGCGATTTTGGTCTGACCGAGTCCCAGCAGCTGTTTCTCGGCCTCCTTCAGGTTGCTCATGACTTGTTTGTTGTATAGACTTGTAGGTATAGCAATTACATCTGCACCGGTGTCTACTTTGAACTTCATAGGCGAGCCATTTACTATCACATCTGCTCTCCACAGCCCAGAGTACTGTCGGTCAGTGTGTTCACCCAAGTATACTTCTTCTAAAAACGGCTTGGTGCGCGCTGTTTTTCTTCTTTGTAGAGGCAGATAAGCACATGGCGACAAAGTGTCCCTTTTTGCCGCAGGCACTGCATATTTTTCCGTTCGCAGGGCATGTGGTGTGTGATGGTGGGTGCGTTGTGGAGCCACACCACTTGCAGATCGGTGCAGTTTGGTCGCGCTGTGTTTTCTGAGAGTGTTTATTTGGCTTTCCTTTGTTCTTTGACGATCGGCGCATAGCGTCTATAGCTGCAGGTGTCTGTTACTGCTGACGTAGGTTCTTTTGTTGCTGCTTGATTGTTTCCGAGTTGTGTGCAACGGTGATGGCAGCTTCTAGAGTCAGCTCGGCATTAAGTTGCAGCTTCTCACTTAATTGCGTGTCTGAAAGACCAACGGCGAGCCAATTGCGGATCAATTCTTTTTTCAGATCTCCGAACTCGCAGGTTTCAGCTGGTCTGTACAGTTCAGTTACAAACGTGTCGACGGACGCATACGCTTCTCGCTTCCGGCTGTTAAACTTTGCCCCCTCATATATCACGTTCGTGTACGGCACGAGATGTTTTGCGAACGCTTGTGTTATTGCATCGTCGTTGAGTTTCTCAGCATCAGAAAGTTTGAGCGACGCCAGGACATCCTCTGCTTCACGGCCCATCGCGTAAATGAGTGTGTTTACCTGGGCTTCGTCGTCTTGTTTCTTCAAACCTGAGATGGCACGGTACCGTTCCCATCGTGTAAACCACCGCTTCTACTCTTCAGGCCGCCAAAAGCCGAGCTTTTCCGGCAGTTGGACGACAAACAGGTTGAGTGGCGTTGCAGGCTGAGCTGTCGACCCTGTAGGCGATGCCATGGGTATGGTGTGCTGCGAAGTTCCTTGTTGCGATGCAGGCGCTTGTTAGGCCTACTTGTACGGTGGTCTGCCTTCTTCACAGCGTTGTTGTAGATTTCACGTATCCCATTGCTGCCGCCATGTCGTGACCCTAGATAGAGTGCACATAGGAGTGAAACACAACAACTGTTTCATACTTTATGAGTTATGAGCACACAGGCTTGCCCGGCTACATTATCTCCACGACGCGGACCCTGGTCTCTCGTGCACAGTCCCGCCGATTTCTGTCCACGTGACGCCGTACACTTGGCGCCCTCTCATAGCGCCCACAGCAATAAATTAGTAATATATAAAGTCTACTGTGAATAATCCATGCCGACCAGAGAAGCTCTACCATAAACGACAGGAGTAGTCACACTTTTCGTGAATGCTAATGGGCTTGCCTAAGAGCAGGTGATGCTTACTCAAGTAGGTTTTCACTTGTCACTGCCAAAACTACCAACATGTAACTGCGTTGGCAGTTGGTACTCACGGCAACTGCTAGAAAATACTGGCAGGTGTTGACTCGAACCCTAATTCGATGCATTGTGTGTTTTGTGGGGATATTTTATAAAAGGGGCAAGGCATGCTAGTGCTAAGAAATAATGCTTTGTGTACTAGGCAGCTTTGTTTGGCGTGACATGACTGAAACTCTGGCTTGTGGTACAATTACGAAACTTTATGTAATTGTATACTGAGGTAATTTAATTTTTCACACCTGTAATATTCACTCCAGAGCATGAAGCCTCTATAAAAGCAGCAATTGCATATCTAAATAGTGATGTTTTCTTCTTTGACATGCAGGTACATGAATGATCGAGTTAGTACTTTGCAAGCTGTTAGTCCTGCTTGCTCAGAACAGAAGTGGTGCATGTGTCACTCGCCTATATTTTGCATGTTATCTGAAACCAAATCCATCGATGAAATGGGCAGCATTTGGCTGGTCACAGCTGTCTGATCATGTGAAATTGCAGCTCT